GCGAGCGTTCTAGATCTTCTCTTAAGGGTCTTTAAGGGCGGTAACGATCTAGAAGCAGTACTCGAGGCTAGTTATAGCAGCTAAGGCGCTATCGGAGGGGGCTTCGATCGGGACTAGTACGCCTAGGTTTAGGGCTAGTAGGTTGCTACTACTGCTAGCGCCTAGCGGATTTAGGGCGCCGGAAGACATCTCGGTCGACCGGAGCGGAAAGGAGTTAGTAACGAGTTTGCAAAAACGTTCGTAGCTTGTTAATAATAATTAAAGGGTTTAGATAGAAGAGGGGGGTAGGCGGTAGTAAGTTAGTTAGTATTCGAGTAGAAGAAAGAGCTTAGAAGGCTCGCCTTAAATAGGGTACGAAGGTAGCGTAGTCTATATATTCCGGTAAAGCAAACGGATAACGATTATATATAGACCCTAAAAAGTAAAGCTATATACGAGACTCCTTTGTTAGTAGGGCGGCTAAAGTTTAACAATCGATCTAGCTAATTGCTAGTAGCGACTACGCGCCTTTATTAACCTCTAGCTTTCGTAGATTCCCGCGTACTCGAAATGTAACTAGTTAGTTCGAGTACCTAGTAGTAATCTATAGTAGTAAGACTAGCGGGACTAATAACACCCCCGGGGTAGTATTAGCTTTTCTTTAGAGATACTCGGCAGTTAAGAGCAAATCGCCTAGGCCTAGCGTAGCTTGTATTAGCCTATAGCACTATCGTTATAGATATAGCATTACCTTTTATAGTAGCAGGCATATAAACGTAGCCTATACGTTCTTCTTTCTTCTAGATACTAAGCTTAGCGGCCTAAGGTCCCTATTCTTAGAGGCTATAGGCCTAGGTTGCTATATCTATCTAAGAGCTAGGAAGGGAGAGGGATCCTCCCTTTCTTAGTATCCTGCGTAGCTAGTACTAATTAGGGCAGGAACATCCTCTAGTAGAGTATCTTATTGTCGTTATTACTTAAGGAAGGTTGCTAGAGTCTAGGAACCTAGAGGGAAGTAGTCCTAGAAGGGTAGAGGGGTTAGGTTCGGCTATCTTCCTAATACTACCCCTAGGGTATTATTAGGAAGACACGCCTCGTATAGTTCTATCTAAGGAAACAAGAGCGAAGGAATAAAGTTATAGCAACATCAATCGAAGGTAAAGGCAAAAGCAAAAGACAATAATAGGATAAACTAAAAGCAATAAACGAGAGTATAAACATTAGTAGGAATAGACAATAGGTAAGGACTAAAGGTACAGGGCGGCACTATATTAATAGCGCGGAGAACAATCGACAAGAGTAAGGAAGCAACGTAGTAGAGGTAGGTAGAGGTAAGGAAGAGTAAGCAATTATTTAGTCTCGGGATCTAGCTATAATTCTAGGCGGTCTTCGTCGCTAGACTAGTTAGGTTCCTCGGAGTTAGAGTTAGATAGCTAGAAGTCTAGTTCACTATCGGACTTAATATCGGAAATGCTCTATATATAGTTAATCCGTATATAACCCTCCCTCTGTTCTTAAGTTATTCCTAATAGCTTACTAAGACGAATCTAGGGATAGGTATAGTCTTTAGGCAGAACAGGATCTATAATAGCGGTAGGATCCTCCTCCCGATAGGCATCTAAGGACGGTAGAGGGTCTATAGAGGTACTAACTTCCTCCTCGGTCGGCGGAGGGCGGGCAGGTTCGCGTAACTTAACGATCTTCTTTAGATTAGCCCGAGAGTAAGAGTGCTTTAAGGTAGCACTATCTAGCTCCTAAAGAAGGTATATAGAACCCGAGTAAAGGACCTCCTTTACTCTATAAGGACCCTTCTACTTAAAGGCTAGCTTATAGAAGTAACTATACTCTAGTTCGGACCGGTATAGAAGGACTATATCGCTAACCTTTAGAGGTTCCTAATTAACAGCATTATAGTTATTAAAATACTACTTAGCCTCTTCCCGAAGCCGACGTTGTCGAGCAAGACCCTCTTAAGAAGTCGTAGTTATATCCTTAAGAGCCTTAGCCCGTAGGGTAAGAAGGTCTACCCTAGTACGAACAGACCCCTAATCGTAAACGCCGTACGTACGGTAAGACAATTTAATAGGAAGAACGGCGTCCCTCCTAATTATAAGTTCCGCTAGTGTAAGTCTAGTCGTATCGACGATAGTAGTTCGGTCCGCCTAGAGAAGGGCTAGGACGCGGGTAGAAATAGGAACTAATCTATCGCTACTATTAGTTATCTTAGATAGGGCATTAATTAACGACCGATAGCCGCGCTTAATAATAGTATTCGACTAGGGATAGTACAGGGAGATGCGAACGTTCTTAGCCCCGTACGAAACAAGTAGCGCTTAAACCTCCTTAGCTATATTGTTCGTAGCGTTGTCTAAGATAACCTCGTAAGGTGTTCCCTAGCGGCAAAATAGATCCTTAAATAGGAAGGTAGCTATATTATAGGCATTAATAGCACCGCAACCTTTATAGAAATAATAGGCCTCCGGCTATCGAGAAAGACCCTCTCGAATAATATATAGGCTATTATTGCGGCTAAGATAGACCCTATCGCTATACTACCGCTCCCTAACTAACTAGGTAGTAGGGATACGAAGCTCTCCTAGACGCCGGTAGCTGTTCCTAAAGTTACATTTAGGACAGCTCTTATAGTAACGGAAGACATTAGCCTATACGCCGTCCTACTAGTAGCGTCGACGAAGGATATCGAAGGTGCCCTCCGCCGCCCGGTAGCCGAGCTTATCGTAAACGGAGCGAAGGATTTCTTATCGGGCTACTAGATCGTTAATAATACGCTAGAGCAGTGTATTAATTATAGCCTATCGCTAAAGGATGCGATCTTTAATAAGGAACCTCCGAGAATAGCGAATAATACGACGGTATTAACTCCTTAATAGACTAGGAGCTCTCTTCGTATAGGTAAGGAAGTAGGCGATATTATAGGAGTCGTCGGAGTAGACCCTATTAAGGATATTATCCCTCTCTAGTTTATCTGCCTTAGCTTTAGCCTAGTCGTCGTCGTTAGTAGTAGGGCTCTCGTCGGGCTAGTTACTAGGTTAGTCGCTAGGTTAGTCGTCGGCAGCAGGCCTAGTAATCGCTAGCATAGCATTAATATAGAAGGTAGCGAAGAAAGTGCGGTTAATAACCGCGTCGATATCCTCTTCTTCTATTATCTCGGCGATGTCTTCTTCTATAGCAAGCCTTCTAGAAAGGCTATCCGGTCTAGTATACTTCTTACTAGGAATATAGAAGACGTCGAAATTAAATAAATAGATCTAGGCAACCTACCGAGCTATCGTAGAGTTAGGTAGGTCGGAGGCTATATAGTTAAGTTAATAGACTAGCGTCTAAGTGTCGACCTCTAGGCGAAAGAACACTCTAAAGAGCTAAGGTCGGAACTTCTTAAGAGCCTTATAGATACTAAGGCACTCTCGCTTACTAGTATCGTATCGGGCCTCGATAGGTTTCTATAGACCGGACTCGTACCGGATAGGGTAATGTAAGGAGGGCTCCTTACGATCGCACTATATTAGTATCTCGCTATAGCCTTCCCCGCTCGAGTCGATAGCAACAATTAGCAGACCTACGCCTTCCGAGTAGTTAATAGAGGTAAGCGTAGGCGCGCTAACAAGTACCTTAGTAACCTTGTCCTTAGCGGCTTAGTAAACGGAGGTCTATTTAAACTCTGTATCCTTCTTAAGCAAGGCGTATAGAGGCTTGTATACTAACGTAAAGTTTTCGACCTAGATACGGAAGTAGGAGACTACTCTAAGCTAGATCCGGACGTCTTTCTAATAGGTAGGGTCGGGCTAGGACATAATCTTTAGGACCCGTATATTGTTAGGATAGCGGCTATTCTTATTAGTTACAAACCCGACAATATTTATTCGTTTATATAGGAGCTGAAGCTTCTCCCTATATACCGTTAGGTTAGCTCGCTCTAGGTCGTAGAGGACACTATCGAGGTTCTAAATGTATTCGAGAAAGAACCTACGGATACTAGGCTCTACTTCTTTATTATCGTACCTAGTTTTAGGGCCCTTAATGCCGATGTTATTAAGGAAAGGCATCGCTATATAGGAGATATAGGCCGCGAGGACTTGGTTTATAATACGAACGAACTAGGCTACGGAGTTAGTTGCCCCTTACGGAAGGGTAGTTTGTCTATATAGCCTAAGAGGTGTCTCGAAACTAGTAAGGTCGCGGCTATTAGGATAGAGAGGGATCTAGTCGTAGCCCGAGAAAACATTAACTAGTAAGGCTACAATACAGTTAGCAAAAGCTTCTAAGAACCTATTAGTCTCCGGAGGGAGGTTAGTATCTCTAATCGTAACTGCGTTAAACTTTTATATAGCGTTAATTAGACGGTACTTCTTTAGTTCCCTAAGAGCTGTCTTCTTCTAAACTAGGAAGTATAGGTTGCGATACGAGGCATAGGAAGGCTCTAAGGTACTAGCCTTTACACGCTGCCGTATTATGTCTTTAACTATACCTCTTAGGCTTAGGTTTAGCTTAAACCCTAGGTAAGCCTAAGGCTTATACTCGATCGTTCGGATCCTCTATAAAGGGGCAACCTCCGGGTTAATCCTGCCTAGATACGTAAAGTTATATACTAATACGGCTTCGCGGTTGTATAGAAGCTCGTATAGCAAATCTAGTTTAAGATCCGAAAGCTCGATGCTAGGTTTAATGTTCGCTAGTCTCTCCGGCGTTAGCCTCGATTCCCTAGGAATAGCGGAGAACTTTTTAGTAATATACCTCTAGTCGTATAGACTATCCCTAGGTATTAATATCGCTTCGCGGTTAAGGCACTTTTGTCGCTAGTTAGGATTTCCGCTAGGATTAGACCTATCGGTTATATATACGCTGCCTTTTATAGGCTTAATCTTGTTAGCTACCCTCTTATATAGGGTATATATACTAACCGCTCGTAATACCCGAGCCCTCTCTCTTTAACGTTAGGCCCGGAGATTAGCGCAATAGAACAGCGCGTAAACTTTATCGGAAGTCTCCTTAAGTCGGTAGGTATGCAGCTAGTAATCCTAATTTATAATTCCGGCGAAAACGTTAGATTCCTAATAACACCCCCGGGGTAGCATTAGCTCGGCGCTTTAATTAGTTAGTTCGGATTCGGGCTCGGGTAGATCCGCTTCCGGCGGCGATACCTGCGACAGCATTATTACCGAGATTCGTATACTAGGTAGTCGTTATACTGTTATACTTACTATCGCTTCGAGCATTCGTCTTCTTAGTATAGAGCCTAGGAACTAGCCTTGTCGTACGGAGCGGCGCACCTCTAGATATAACCTATTTAAGCTATATTAACTTATAGCGTAGATTACTAGTCTTACAACCGCGCTATAGCGTTTCCCGAAGAGCGCTTAGAAGTAGCAAGGATATCCTCGTAGGATTTGTAGCTAGTGTTTCCGATACAACTAGTAAATACGACTCGGTTGCCCTTCTAGTTAGCGATAGTTCCTTTCTAGGAGCTATCGTCGCAGTTGCGCTAGATACCCCGGGTTATACGAGACTATAGTCGACCTAGAATAATTAGCGTATTCGGGTTAGCGGCAATCTAGAAGGTAAAGGAAAAGCATATACCGAAAGCGTCTACTATAACATTATAGCAGGCACCTACTAGCGTAACCTCCCTATTTACTCCCTATATACTAAGGGAAATATCTCTGTTTATTAGCAGTCGGAGCTGTTTAGCCTAGCGCTTACTTATAATAAGTAACTCTGAACTATTATTAAGCATTGCTAGCAACTGCTAACTATAGCTTCCGATAGTAACTTAAATGTAGATAGCGGGAACGACGGTAAAGGAACGGGTAACTACGGAAAGGTCTATATTATTAGGGATAGAGTAAAGTTCCTTAGGTCGAGGAGGTCCTACTCGACCGATTTATTAGCTAGTAAATCGGACAGCCTTAATAGAAACTAAAACCGAAGCAGAGTCGGCATTATTATTATTCCCTCGGCCTATCTCCTTAATCCCCTCTTCGTTAGTATTATCGATAGTCTCCTAGCTCTCGTAGGTTACTAATTCGCCTTCTACTAACTCCTAGGCCCCTAAAAATTTAGGAAGGAACTATAGGGAAGAGACGTCGATATAGTCCTCTCGCCCCTATTTACGTCGGAGGGCTGCAAGGTCTTTTATAAAGGTAGCATCGTTAGGAATCCGGCTCTAGAACAGGTTAGTAGGCAAACCGTATACTAGAAGCTCCCCTATAGACACGTTAGACTTGAGGTCTAGGAACTATAAAGCCTAGAAGAGAGCATTTGCCTTTGTGTCGTAAGAGTTAGTAGGCCCGGCACTATACTTCTTTATATACCTATTAAAGCGAAAGCTCTTTAGGTCGGCTGACTTTCGTTTGTAGGCCGGCGGGTTAGCTAGGCCTAGGGTACTACTAAGGTCGGTAGTAGCATCCTCTATATCGATATCCGGAGTCTCTAGGACCTCCGGAGAGGCTATACTAGCTCGGGTTATACGGTCTTTAGCTGTCTAGAGTGTTTTAGTCTTAGCGACTAATTCTCGCTATTTCTTAGCCTTATTAGCTGCCTACTTCTTAAGTATCCTAGTAGGGGCTGCCGCACTAGGGCGGGTAGGGTTCTACGGGCTCTTATCCTTGCCCTAGGACGACTAGGTTTAGGACGACTAAGTTTAGGACCTTGTAGCAGCGTAGATATCTATACTGTTCTTAGTAATCGCGTAAACATTAGTAACTGCGTCCGGGTCCTAAGACACAAAGTTAACTTTAATAGGCTTAGTAGTACTATTACTGCTCCGCTCCTTAACCTGTTTTGCCCTAACCTTCTAAGTTTCTCGTTTAGTAATAGCGGCGAGGGTACTATTCCTAGTGTCCTTAAACTCGATCTTGCTACTATACTTCTTCTCTAGAAGACTCCTAAGTTAAGGCAGTTTCGGGGCTCTACGATCCTACTCGAAGTTAATCTTGTCGCTAGTATCGGTATAGTAGAACCGACTATTTACTTATATAACGAGCTTCCTCTTAAGAAGCTCTTTCTAGATAGGGCAGTCTAATTAAATATATTTGAAACCGCCGCATATCTAGCACTTGCTATCTAAGTTAGAATAGATCTTTTGTATAGCGTAGACGTTAACTAAAGGGGCCTTAGGGTAGTTAGGATCGGAGACCTAGTAGACTAGTAGCATATCCTTTAGTATACTAGCATTAAGGACCTCCCTAACTCGCTATAGTGCTTTCGCATTAAGGTTGAGCTAGGCTAGGGATTTAGCTAAGTCCGCAACGTCCTAAGAATGCTTAGTAACGGTAGGAGTTACGGTACTAGGACTACTTTGCGATTTAGGAAGAAACTTAGGCCCTCTAGTTCCTAAGGCATCGTTCCTTACCTAGGCTAGGTTATTCCGGTCCTCGCCGTAAATGAACTTCTTTGTATCGGCGGAGCTATTAATGTCGTCCTTAATAGCCTCTAGGACCTCTTTATACTTCCTAAAGGTCTTAGGATTAGCTTCGCTAAGCTTGTAGCAACGGAAGACACGCTTAGCCGTAGACTACGGCAACCCTTTAAGGAGCAGCCTCGTTCTCTAAGAATTCTCGAGGTCCTACTAGTCGATACCGTCCGCTAACTTAACAAACTCGCGGACGTACTCCTTTAGGTCGTTATCTTCGGTACGCCTCTCTATATAGAGGTTCTTAAGCTACGTACGACTACCTTTAATACGACGGCTATCGCGATCCCGATACTCCCTTATAAAGGCCTACTTAAAGACCTCCTAGTCGGCATTAGACTTGTCGTCCTTTTCTAGGTAGCTAACTAGGGTTCTAAGGGTTCGGTAAAGCTTAGTAATAGTAGTCCTCGTAAGAGACCGGACCTTATACTAGTCCGACTCCTCTTCGAGTCCGTACTCGGCTAAGTTGTCCTTAAAGCGTTCTACGTGCGCCGTAGCGTTCTACCCTTCGAATAAAGGGTTCCTACTACTTCCTAGCTCTAGCGGGCGACGCCTATTCTAACGGAGAAGGTTAGTTTGCCCTTAAATCATCTTTATAACGACATTGTAGAGGGCCTTAGGCGTAGAAGGCTCGATAGCCCCTAGGTCGACGGCGCTTATAACAACTAGTCGTCGCCTGATTTCTTCGTTAATAGAGTCCGGTAGGTTATTAGATTCCGAAGATTCCGCTAATTCGTAATGCTCGCTTTCGCTAGAGCTTATTCGATTGTTATAAAGTAGTTGAAATAAAATGCTATAGGAAAGTGTTTTTAGTATATATTATAGGTTTGGTTTGTTTCGATATTGCTATATAAGAAAATAGTATACTAGGCTATTTTCTTCTAATATTACCCCCGGGGTAGCATTAGAGTTTAGCCTCCTAGGGGTCGCCTATATACCCCTAGGAGCTAAGTTTAGTATTAGATAAAAGCCGCTCGGAGGGAGAGACTATAATCTCTATTTATACCTAGATCCTAGAAACTAGCTCGTATCTCCTTTAGCTAGGCGGGGGGGCGGGGACCTTCTTTTTCTAGTAGAAGGCTAAGCACTATCCGAACGAGGTAGCGAATCCCGAAGTAGTCTACCCGGTTAATAGGGGAACTGCCTAGGCATCCGACCTGTAATCTAGAAATTGCTATCGTATAGATAGTCTTAGCAAACTAAGCAAGGCCGATAGGTAATTAGTCTATCTCCTCCTTAGGCGGGGCTTATCTCGAGTAAGCGGTACTAAATAGGTCTTCGACCCGGAGCTAAGTCCTTAGAAGCTAGCTATAGTTATAGACTAGGCCCTAAGCTGTAATAGTCCTAAGGGTTTGTAGCTTTTCGGGGTTAAAGCGATGCCCTTATTAAGAGGTTTCTCTGCTTGTCGTAACGGCCCCTTAAGATACTTCGGTATCGTCCGTATCGTAGGCTCTTATCGTACTCTCGCTTCGGTTATAGCTATTCGTACCTAGAGACTACCTTTAATATACCCGAACCTGTTAGATATAAAGAGATAGCCCTACCTTCGGCTCTAATATAGGACGGAAACTAACACTACTACTACTACTTATAGCAATAGTTTAGGCTACCGAGGGTAATATAACCTATAGCAATATAGGCAGCTATGTTTAGTAAGATAGGATAACGAGACTATCGCTTAGGCTAATAACTAGAGCCCTATAATATAGGCATTATAGAAGTGTAATATAAACAATGTGCTATACGAGGTTAATGCTCTATCTACAATATAGAAGGAGGCCTCTTATATAGGCTCAAAACTGGCCTATAGGTATAGGGCCGGTTACTAGCTAATACTAGCTAAAGGCTGTAGCTTAAGACGTAGAATTAGGTCGCTATTCGAGTCTTTAAGTGTCTCTATTATTAGCGCCGCTAGCGAGGCTCCGAGCATACTAAGTCCTACTAGGTTTGTAAGCGCTAGAAGCGACTTAAACGCCGTAATAAGCGCTATAGTAAAGGAAGTTAAGCTAAAGATAGTACGTTAAATAGATACTATCTAGTCTAGTATCTAGGCCCTATAGGCGACGATAACCGCTTCGTTACTATTAAGGCCGTTACTATTGTCTTAAATAGAGCTTCCTTCTAATAATATCGTTATAGGTAGTCAAACGGACCCGATAGACAATAACGACGATAGCGACGGCTTCGTAGACCTTAATACCCTCAACGATAAGGTATTCTCGCAGATAATTTAATATATTAGTATTAGGGTTAGGTTTAGAGTTAGGGTAAAGTAGTTATAGTCCTTCTTGTTATTATAAATGTTGTAATTACTTAGTTAATATCCTCTTTTACAATTGCCTATTCGAAATCGTACTCTAGTTCGGTACGAGAGCGCTAAGAGCGTCGTTTTTTATACAAATCGCGGGGTTTAAGCTCGGTCGATAAATCCGGTTTCGATTGCTAGTAGCGCGAGGTAAAATAGGGCAGGTATAGTAGTATATAGCTCGAAGCGACGCGGAAAGCCGAGTAGTATCGCTTAGTAAGCGGGCTCCGACAATCTTCGACTCGCTACGTAATAACGTATTGCTCGTTTTCGTTTATTTTTAGACGATAGTATACGCCGCATACTAAAGATTATAGCGCATACGAGAAGGTTTAAAAATAGTAATGTTATTATTATATTTAGAGTCGCAAAGCATCGGTCGCGCTATACTATACGCTAGTACGGATATACCCGTATCTAGCTATTTCCTAACCTACGACTTCTTCTACCTATTTCTATATTCCTCTGTTATATTAATAACCTTAATCTTATTAGTCTTATACGTCGGTATATCCGTACGACTATATCTAAACGAAGCGCCGCTATTAAATACCTCGTCGCCTGCTTAAAAGCCCGCTCTAAAGTGCCTACTATAGCGTAGAAGGACCAAGGTTACCGTTAGCTAGTTAAGCTAGATAAGGTACAGGTAGTAGATTAGCTAGGTATTCTCGTACACTCGGAGGCCGTATACCGTATAATCGACTAATCTTATTGCTACGATAGCAGGTTAGGCAATTAGTAAGCAAAGTAGCTACTATATATATCGCCCTAACCGGCATTAACTCGACTCGCAATCTATAGAAATACTTTATTATCTCGAAGTTATTTACTACCTTAGTAAAGCCCTATTCTACCGCCTAATATATAGCACTTATCTCCTTTGCCGCCGTAGCCTTACTCGCATTTCGAAACTCGCTATTCGTAGTTTTCTAGCTTCCTATAACACTATCGACTACATTGTATGCTTAGTTACTATATAAGAACACTCGCTCTTCGAAGGGCCGAGGTAGCTGTCTAGGCGGCTCGAAATACGACTTCTATACCTTATTAAATCCGCTCTCTAGCATTAGCGTTATATTACCGTAGGAGCTAGGTGCTAGACTATATAGTAATATTATGCTATCCGGAAGGACAATACCTTAATACTTAAGGCTATAGAAGTGCTTATAGCTATTATAGAATAGCCGCTAGTTATAAGTCGGTCTATAGCACTTCCGTAAGGTGCTATCGATATAACTAAATACGCACTTAATATCGATTAATCTAGCGATAGTAACGGCTATCCGCTATAGGTATTCTTTACTTAATCGATTAAAGTCCTATACTAATCGACCCTTCTAGCGCCTTACTAATTAAGTGTAAGTAGTATTAAATACGATAGATACCTAACTCTTACTACGACTAAATATCTAGTATAGGTTACGCTAATAGCCTAGATTTAAGAGCCTTCTATATACTATATATAGCACTATTATTAGATCGCACCGTATACGGTTTAGTAGTTTAATAGACCTAATATCTAGCAATTTAGTTAATTCTAGTATCTATTGCTTAGTAAAGCGGAAGTTACCTTAGAAGTTAGCATTAGGGTATGTTTCTAGTAACTACTACTTATTCTTTAGATACTCTCGCAGCTCTTTATATAGCCTATTATTGCGAGCCTATCTATGCTAGTATTTACGCTTAGTCTTATTATCTCGGCGAATAGCTAGATCTAGTAGATTGTCTACCTTAGAAGCTAATATAGCCGCCGTAGTTGCTAATATTCTACCGCAAATAGCCGCTATATCTTCTTCGAGTTTACTATCCGTCGAGAAGCCGTCTAAGTCGTACTACGCTATAGTATGCTATCGCAATTAACGTCTATTCTATAGTGCTAATTATAGTAAGGTCTACGACCCCGGTCGCTTCTTAGTACCTCCTTTGCTTACTAAGCAATCGTTCAGTGGACGCTACTAAAACCTACTGCTAAACCTCAAATTGGCCGTTATTCTAGTTATTCACTTTCCGCCGCTAAAACGACGCTATTCGCGGCTTCTTACATATAAGAAACGGCCGGAAACCTACTGCTAAAGGTGCCTACTGGCAACATCCACTTCCATCTCCGACTCATCATGAAAATCGACTTCTACGGCGGCGGCGGTACGACATCTGCACATCAATCTCGCCCTGGCGCCGTGTCATCCCACGCCACGACGCTGCTTCCTGCATCTGCATCTGGCCGTGTCACAGCTCTACACGCAGAACGGGAGGCAATCAATCATTTCAACCTCCTGCACGCAGCCTCCGACTGCCCTTTTGTGCAAGCGTTTGCGTTCGATTGGGACACTCGTCACAGTACTCTCATCATCTTCTCGGCCATGGGGGAACATGCCTCGTCGTCTGTGTCTGCGACCCACCAGCTTCCTGTCCATGGCTGATGACATCCTGGTCACCTTCGATGCATCGCCTTGAGTCCCAACTCACTCACCTGTCATGGCTAGCTGGAGCCTCAAACTGCTTGTATCACTTGCCTGGCTCATTGCTCTCTTGCTCCTCGCCTGCTGCCTGTTCTACCAAGACTCCAAAGGAATCCCATGGCTATGGCAGGGCACGTGCGAGGCCATTTTCATCAAGCTGGGTGCCGCCGCGCCGGCATTCGCCATCTTATGGATTCCGGCCGACACTTGTCCATGGTGCGATATCTTCGTCCTCTACATGCTTCCGATGCTGGGAATGCTATGGCTCCAGAGACGAAGAATATGCACGTGGATCCGGCGAATGGGAAAAGTGTTGCTCGTGAATATCGGCATCCTGGCCGTCTGCATTGTGCTCGACCCATACTTCCTGCAACAAAGCATCAATGAGACCCGGGTGAGAGCCGCTTTCGAACACATCCCAGACCCCCAGGCCAGGCTTCCTCCTACAATGCTGTTGACTTTGGACGCCATCTTGCTGCCGATGCTGCACTTCCTCGCAGAGTGTGGTCCACTGTACTACAGGCACAACTTGCACAGCACGTCATATTGTGAGGTGGAGCAGGTGTTGGCACATCTGGGCATTCCACTCGACACCGACATCACCTCGGACGGTATCGGCGTCTCGCGCCTTGGCCGAAGCTTCTGCCATGGCCTGATGCCCTCGAAATCACCACACAAACCCTTATCGCCACCAGTCCGTCTCTACGCCGACCAGCTTCTACATCTTCGCTCGCACTTTGCCTCCGCCATCAACTCAGCTCAGTACTATCTCCTGCCCCTCCTCGATCGACTGCATACCGATACAGTCACCGTCCACCGATCACTCTCCGCCATCGACCCAGAAACTCTCAACATCTTCGACAAAGCATTCACGAATTCCTGTCCACCTACTTCATCCCCACTCCTCATGTACTACTGGCCCGGCCCTGCACGCCACTACTGCGATCTTCTCCGAACCTTTGTCTACCCCCGAACAGCATTCTCCTGGATTCAACTTCTCCTCGGCAACTCGACGTGGAAACTTCGAAGCATCTACCACCAAGCCGCTACTCTCCGCAGCCGCCTGAAAATCGCCTCTCAAGATCTCGACTCTGCACTCCAAACTTCCATCGCACTTTCCGATGACGTATACACCACGATTTCCAATCTAAAACCACTTCCCACCCTCATCCCCTCCTCTGCCACAAATCCTTCTCATCTCGACGCTGCATCCATGGTAGCAGAGAATCGCAAGGTCCTCTCAGAATTGGAAAAACTCGAGTTGCGAGCGGATCAAACGCGGGCATTGATGCGCGGGAGGGACGTTCTCGTAGATTCCGTGGAGCGAATGCTGCGTGTACAGATCCGCGGTGTGGGAAGAGGAGAGAGGAACCTCACCTCCCTCGCTTTCGACACGGCACATTTCGCTCACGGACTCCTGGCACAAGCGAGTTTGATTTACGACGTCTGGGTGCAGCGCGGTCGACCGATCAGAGATGTTTCCCGAGGCTGGATGCCGCAGGAATTCCTTCCGTGTGAGGATCGGTTGGAGGAGGCGAAGGTGCAGATTCGGCTTCAGAGGGGGAAGGCGGCGCTTCCGGAGAAGAATGAGTAAATGCAAGGCAATCTGGGAGGGAAGAGTGTCAGTTTCGAACAATGATGAATCTGATACAGGTGACGATGAATGTGTTGCAAACAAATCAATCACCATCTGAAACGGCTGAACTAGCAATGTAGGATGTCGGTTGATAAATCCATGTTACCTGAAGTCGATGAATCTGTTCATAGGTGGATGCAGACATAATAAACGTGTCGCCGTCCGTTGATATTACACCAAACAAGGCCCTATTTGGTCAAATTGGCCAGTTTCATTAGCATAATTTGATCAAACAAGGCTTCCTTTGTCAAGATTCATACTTTGATCAAATATAGCGCTTTTGATGAGGTCTCAGGAGTTGTTTGGTTGATATAGGTCTGTGTAATGGTCCGTGTTGCTAGCAAACCCGGTTTGTAAGCGCTTGTTGCCAAGCTGAAGAAGCCGCATCCTAGTACAGCAATGAAGATCCGTATACTACAACACAATACCGTAATTATCGCACCGGTGCACTCGGCATCGATCGTATATGTCTTCCTAAGCATTTTGATCTAGAAATCATAGTATATAATCGTATAGTAGTGTTGCAATAGACACCGACAGCTAGCAAGCTAGATCTAGTACCTCTAGCAACCCGCCTTCGTAGTATAGCTAGAAATGTCGTCTCGACAACCTGCCTCTACCGGAGGCCTTATCTTCCAACCAACCTCGCTAGACTCTGCCCGTTAGCATATACGATTGAACCGCAATACGCCTGTCCGACCGCTACGCTAATAGTAGCTTCCGACGGTTGTTATACCTAATCTCGAGGGCGACGAAGCGACTCGTATTAATCCATTTCTACCGACAACAGCACTAGCATTCTAGCAGTACTTAAAGGACAAACGCAATAGCGGTAAAGACAAGCTTCTCGTAATATACGAGCGCTATCTTCGCCTATTATAATAGATTACTCTAGATAAAGCAATATAGCCGAAAGCGCTCGGTTATAAGACACTATCGAGGGCTAAATATAACGAGAAGATCTAGGCTCGTAAGCGGTTCAAATACAACGTTAAAGAAGCTCGTTTATATACTATTAAGAAGGACGGTTCTTATAAGAAAGTAGTCTAAGAACACGAGATTTGGCATGTTCTAACTACTAAGCACTATGCCTTCGGACACGCTCGTTATAGCGTAATACAATACCTTATTAACGAGAGGTTCTACGGCATAACGAAGGCTGATATTCAAGAGGTGCTTAAGTACTGCTACGTCTGCAATTTAGTATCTATAAGGCCGAAGATGTAGACTAGTAACCTACTAGAACATATTATTGCCGAGAAGACACTAAACAGAGTACAGATAGACCTTGTAAGGGATATATAGACACCTAAGGGCTTCAATTGCTAATAATTTACTAGATAGACTTCTCTAGCGATCCTAACGGCCCTTACCTCTATCTCCTATACCTTAAAGACTATAAAACCAAGTTTTACCGGGTCTACGCCCTTACTTCGAAGCAGTCCGCCGAGATCGCCTTCTATATATAGGACTTCTCCTATTTCGTAGGCATAGCGGCACTATATCAAATAGACAATAGCAAGGAGTTTAAGGGTATTATTAAGAAGCTATTAAAGTCGTACGGTACGAAGATCGCTTACGGTACGCCGTACTATCTACAATCGTAGGGTACGTACGAAGAGAGGCATAGAAGGCTTAAGAACACGCTAACAATAGTTAACAAGGCCTCGTTAAACAAGCTAACGGTGTTATAAAGCGACGGATCGCTGCTATTAAGCTACAACTTAGCCTTAGAGGTTAGGTTATAGCGGCGTACGAAGCGGCTCGAATTTATAACAATACGTAGCACTTAGCAATTAAGATAACGCCCTTTAAGGCCTTCTTTAATCGCGACCCTCTAACGCAACTACGCTTTATTTCCGAGGCCTTATCTATAGCCGCTATAGACGGAGATACTAATCTTCTGTTTGACATTAAAGAGCTACGTCTAGTTAACGACAACGACGATACGGCTAGTATTGCTATAGAAGAGGCGGACGGACACAATATCGAGTAGGTGCTAGACAGGCCGCAATTTGAGAGCGATAATAGCGCACCCTTACTTCCGTAAGAGCCTCGCGACATTAACGAAGCCGTACGATCGATACGACTAAATACAACTGCTTAGTACGAGGCTTCTTAACAACGCCGTACGACCTATATCTCTAGCGCTAGCATTGCCGCCGAGATTAATTACTCGCAAAGGATGCTATAGGATTATATTCGAGCCGCTTAAGAGGCCGCGAATGCTAAAGAAGATCGCTAGAGGAAGTATAACAATCTACGTACCTTCTAAATTAGCGATATTGTTAGCTTCTAGATCCCTTAGAAGTACAAGGTTCTAAATAGACCTAATTCAATTATATGCTAGGTTATATAGCAATTTAAGGACGAGAATAGCAATAAGAAGCCGCTATTCAAATTGCTTACTCCTTAGGGCGCTCTTAAACACTACTAGCATATAAGGCACTTCTATAAGAAGGATAAGCTCTACTGCTACGACTTCTTAGTACATACTAGCTACGAGAACAAGGAGATTATAGTGTCCTATACGGCGAAGCGATAGGCTAATATTCTACTTACTTTATATAGCGCCTGCCGTTGCACAATTAGTTAATGCCGCACTAGATACTGTAGCTGTCGCAAGGCTAGAATACCGTGTTTAGAAGCCTGTTACAGCGCTAGCAACACCTGTCTTAATATAGACGATTACGGGCACGCAACTAACGAAGATATTATAGGAGACAGTAAGCGAGAATCTGTCTAGTTTGATACTACAACTGACGACACTCCTATAGACGTTGAGAACGACGATAACGACGGCGGCAATATCTTCATTTCTAGCGGCAATAACTTAGCGATTAAGATTAGTAATAACGACTTAACTCCGAGAGCTTCTACCGTGCCTAAGCCTTCTTTATCCATTAACTAACCGTTAGCTTCTTCTATAACCTCTCAAGCGCTATTAAGTAACGCTATACTGCTTAGCGGCGACGAGTTAATAACACCTAGTTAGGTTAATAATAGGCCGTTGCTTCTAACACCAAAGACGCTTAGAAAGCGGAAGATTAAGCTAACTAAGAAGGTTAGAATACAGAAGAGCCTAGATAAGAAGCGGAAGGTGCCTACTAGCGTATAGAAGCGACTTAATGCGAGAGCCTTATTGCGTAGCACTTAATAGGCCGTTAGAGAGAGCGTAGCGGAGCCTACGGAGGTAGCGGAGGTTGAAGACAGTAATATTAGGAGGACCGTAGCGTTTAAACGGAGGATTTAGGGCTGTTTCTATATATAATATTAGTCTAATCGTCTCCTTCTAGACCGCTCTGTCCTCTGCGAGGCATACTGTCGCCTATAGAAGTCTCTGTTTTATAGTTGTTATCCTCCTTCGAATTTCGATATATACCTCCTACTTGTGTGTTTATGCTAAGAAAACCGGTATACCGCATTCCTTACACATTCTTTACTAGGAAATAAGCTTATCGTTATGTCCGGATGCGACAGTAAGCGTATAGTACGTGTAGTACGTATGTTAATATAGAAGGGCTTGTTTAACTAAAGAGGGCTGTTTTTATAAGATACTAAGAGATTAGGCTTTTTATCAAATTGCTATAAAAGGTTAACTAAATAGGCCCTGTTTAGTCAAACCGGTAGTATAATGAAATTGCGACAACAAACGCAAGTCGTTATTATTATTATTATTACCGCCTTGTTACCTACTAGCAACTTTCTTCGCCGGCAGTATGTATTACGCATTCTCTTCCGACTCGTTTATAGCTTCCCTATAATACTATTCTTATACCGCGCTTGTTAAGAGTAGAGCGTCTCTATAATCTACCTTCCCTTCCTACTCTTATTCGAAGACTCGATCTCCCCGCTTTTAGAGCTAGGTATCGAATCCTAAAAGTAAAGGTCCTTATCTCTAGGAGAGGCCGGTATAAGGTTCGTTTTATCCTATATCGCGAGGAGGTTTTTTATATATATATATAAAGTTATCCTAACATATATACGAGTTAATTGCGATAGCATTGTCTGAAACGATACCTTATTCGAGGTATCCCCGCCTCTATAACTTCTTCGCTTATTCGAGGGATAAAGTACTTAGTAACTTTGTTAAAACTTAGTAACTTTTTTTAAATTTGCTAGATATACGTATATAGTTCCGCCTAAGTCTTACTAGGCTTAAATCCTTAATCGTTTTTAGATACTTTATATCCGTAGTATCCTCTTTCTTCTCTACTTCTACTTATATTCTCTATAGTTAGAATCTACTTAGCGGAATTATAATTGCCCTAGACCTTATTCGATAGGCGCTTATATAAGATACGCGGTCGTATAGTTCTCGAAGTCGAGTATAATATAGTTAACGTTCTAAATCTAACTAATACTATAGTCGATAAGCGTTATATTATCCTAGTTAAGATAGTTAAGCTATCTATATAGATATATTATACCTCTAGCATCGGTCTTCTTCGCCTAATACGAAAGCTATTTATATACTATCTATATTAATATTTCCTACCCCGGTATTAGTCGTCCTAGCTCTATATTAAGACGTTCTTATATTACTTCCCCCCCCCCCCCCCTAAGCCTATCCGTCTTAGCTCTATAGTCGTAGTATTCTTATTATAGGCAGTCGAAGTTGTAAGAAGACTTCGCAAAAGCTAGTCTTATACTATCTTATACTACTAGAATTAGTCGTCTTTGCTCTATAATAGGCTATATCCTTACTATAGGTAGTAGAATTATAAAGGACTCTTCGTAAAAGCTATTTTTAAACTATCTCGTAATCTAGGCATTAGTCTTCGAGGCTCTATAGTCGCGCTATTCGTAATGTAGGTAGTAGAACTATAGAGGGGACTTCGCCTTGTCTTTTTCTTATTTTATAACGTAGCTAAGAACGTTAATGTTCGCTCTATCTATATCGATAGAGTATATATACTCCTAGAATTAGTCGTATTAGCTCTAAAGTTATAGAATTCGTATTATAGGCTATTAGGTTATAGAGGAGACCTTATAAAAGCTATTTTTACGCTATCTTATACCTTAAGTATTAGTCGTCTTAACCCCTATAATCGCTATATTATATTATATATAGGAGGCCGAATTCGATTTGCCTTCTTCTTATTTCGTAATAAAGCCTAAGAAAAGTCCGCGGGAGACTATCTAAGATTAAGGTTTAAAGTAAAAGTTTAGCAAACCCGGGATATTATATATAAAACCGGGTAAATACTTAAATAGTATATATTAGTATAGGAATTACTTAGATAGGAAGAGGCTTACTCGGATAGGATATATTAGCTTAAGAATTACTTAGATAGGAATTATTAGTATTAGATAGGAATTATTAATATAGTAATTACTTAGATAGTAATGTACTATTTCTATATTTAAGTAGTTATACCTAGTATATAGAAAAGCAAATTGTTTTCCTTTTCTACCGTATATCGCTTAAAAACTCTTCTTCCTATTCTTCCTCCTTTTATTCCGAAGGGATTATATAATATATATAATATGTTTTCGGAGTATAGTAGGAAGTGCTTAAGTCTTACCGGTATAAGGTATCTCTACTAGCCTAGCTCTAGTCCTCCTAATAGCGGCGAAGGCACCGGGGTAGAGGTATATAATAATTTAACCTTTTTCGTTAAAGTGCTACGAACCGCTTTAAGCGCTATAGCTATACTAATCGAGAATCTAAGGAGACGTTAACCGTTCTAGTTCTAACTTCGATATTAATTCCTATACTAATATGCCTACTAATATCCCGAAATATTCCTATTTAAGAAATGCTAGCTAATGTTGCTAATCTAGTCCTATCTTAGTAATTCCTATGCTAATGTTTACTATTTGAGTATTTACCCGCATATAAAACTCTTCCGGTGCATAACTTCACTCTAAGTCTATCGGAGTTGCTAGCTAAGCACGCCAGATCTAGTAGCACTTTATCGATTGATCCTTTCGGGCCTCAATAGGTCTCCAAACGCACAGGTGAAAAGGCACAACAACGCGCGACATGCCAAGCTTGGGGTGTCATTTGTTGCGGCCAGAGCCTTCCGTTTTTGCTGCTGGAGTGTATATGAACAACAGCAGGCGGCATTCCAAACATCCCCTGCGCCATGAATTTCCACACAGGTTTTCATGACTGTTCTCAAATTCTCCATCTGATGTGCTGAACGCCTGGATTCAGGCGCTCGGCACGCCGGATCCAGCACCATCTCATCCATTGATCTTGTCGGCGACATCCCAAGCGTGAGATCTTTCATATCCTTGAAGGTTTGAGCTGTATTCGGCTGCCAAAGTGCATGTAGACATCCGAAAACATCCCCTCGCCATGGATTTCTGTACCGGTCTTGATGATTGTTATCGATATGTCGTTCTCCAGATGTGCAAATGTGCATGCCATTGGCTTCCTTTCTTTCTTGGGATTGTTTTCTGATGTGCAACTTCTGCCCTCCCTGCTCCTGTTCGCAGCTTGGCCTTTGTGACCGAGGTATTTGAGCTTGTATGTACCCGCCCACCTTGATTCAAGTTATTCGGACTTTTGATTGTCGAGGTAGAATCTCCGCTTTGGCACCAGACCATTCACCCGAGATGCCGGCCAATATGTCGCAGCCCTTGCCAAGTTCGTCCAGAGAAGCGCCTATTGGATAGCTACCGTAGGCGACACGCGGAAGAAGCATCGAGCGGTACCTGGTAGCACATACGACACGCCTCGCGAAATCTGGATGCTCTACCGAGCGCCCTGAGCACGCACATCGTAAGTGCCACGAGTTGTATTAGGGCGTAGCGCCCAAAGCTTCTTCGCCTTACCTATAAGCTTGGAGATGATCGGGATGAGATATGCTGCGGTCTTGCCGCTGCCAGTCTGAGCGACGCCACAACATCGTGGCCACTCTAGACGGCGGAGATGGTCTACGCTTGGTCTTGTAATCGGCGAGTGCGATATTCTATAGCACAACTGGATGCAGGCCAGCATTAGCGAAATTCTTGATAGCGATCTTCGTAGGTGACTTCAATGTCGTCGATGTTGGTGCGGTGGGTACCCTCGCGAAGCTTGAACTAAGAACCAAAGAGAATGCCGTCTCGAGTATAGCATGTTCCTAGTTTTCGCGCATTTGGCAGCCTCGTCTCGGAATGAATTTCTCTCGACCAAGATGAATCGTTGGCTGATGCACTCAGCTCTATAGTTTTGCACGCAGTCCGAGCTTCCTCCTCGATCATCACATCCCGTTGATCTTATCTAGGTTTGATGCCGTCTTGGGCATGCTCTCATATTGGGTCTGATGCCGCGTTGGGTTTGATGAAGGCATGGGTGTTATCTCCTCTTGGGTATGATCTCATTTTAGGCCTGAATGCAACTTCTGTTTGAGTACATCTTGGGTGTGATGTCCTTGTAGCTGATCGCATCGTGGGTTTGATCGCATCGTGGTACGAATTGTGTTTCATTCTCCAAGTAGTAAAGGCGACGCCAGCAAAACGGGTGAGAGATTTCATCCATTTGGAGCCGTACTAGCCTCCGCCCTCGAGATTCTAGCATGCACTTCAGGAACAGCTTTGCCAAGGACGACAGACGCATTGCCCTCGACAGCCAGACCCTTGTGAGATGTTATTTGACAGTCTTCTTGGTGACATCAGTCTTCTTTGCCGCAGGTGCCTTGTCCTCAACAGCTGGGGCCTGGCGGGATTCCAGCATTGAGTTGGTAAAGTCGCCTTCGAGGTTGCCAGTGTTGGCATTCGTGCTGCTTGCAGTCTTCTTGGCGGCAGCAGCCTTCTTTGTAGCAGATGTCTTCTTCGTGGCCGCGGTTGTCTTGGCTGCCGCTGCCTTCTTGGTAGTAGCAGCTGCCTTGTCTGTCTCCTATGCGGCTGCCATCTCTTCCCTTGTGTGCAAACCTCCCTTCGCCTGGGGTTCACGAGGACATGCCTCACTGCGGGGCGCTTAATGCGCTCAAGAATCGCTCGCGAATATTGTCCGAACTGGTCTGCGCCCGGGAACTGCGCGACGAGCAAGTAATGGACCTGCGAAGAAGACAGGATCTGGGTCGCCCAAGCCTCTTGGAAAGCTGGCTTGAGGGCAATCGCGGCCTCGGTCTGCTAGTCCTCAACAGGGTCTTGGTCTTGATTCCCTGTTTCGTCGTCGCTGCAGTCTTGCCTATCCATGGCGTCTACACCATTCGGCCCGCGCTCCATGCTCAGGATCCCGAAGCGTCAGACTCCAAATGGAGACTCAGAAGGAGCCCAGGCGAGTCGAGGGAAGTGATACTGATGCAGGACTTTGTGAACAGTTTGGCCAGCCTAATGGTAGCACCGAAGTCGTCATCAGACCTAGTATCATGATTTCTCCGAGGCGGCAGAGTGTTCGAGGAGAGCCAGGATGTCCTTGACCCAGTCGGAGATAGCATGATTGATTGACCTTTGCTCATCGAGAATGCACATTTTCCGCATCAGTTTCGAGCAAGATCTTCCATCTTTTCTAGCCTACAGCTTGAACTGCTTCGTCGAGGGGCTTGTGTAGACCAATCTTGGACCGCGTATTGTCTTTAGCACGAGCTTTGCACCTGCCGACCTGTGGCCATGGCGAATCGCAGTATGTGAGCATTTCGCTTTTCATCATATTTGGCAGATATTGGTCTTGCCACTTGCGCTGAGTCGGACTTTGACAGCTTTCGGAGCAGCGTCTTGGTATATTAGGATTGCGTGCGTTGCCAGATCGGTATGAAGTACTTATGTTGCTCAATCTCAGCTTCTGTAGCTGTCTAATTTCGTAGTCGTCCGAAGGCCATCGGTCTCCTAGTCATTGGCAATCCAGATCTTGCTCGCTAAAGAGATTCGGTGCGTGCGTGGCAGAAACCGCCGAGTTCGGGGATCTTGTCCTCATGGATTTATGCTAGCCATCCATCGGTGAACACTTCATGTTGTTCAGCCCTGTTCGGACCAACTTCGCACTTGGAAGATAAGTCCTCAGGCACGTCATGAAATTCTCAAACCTCTTCAGCATAGCCATTTCCTCGGTCTAGTAGTTGGGATGTCGTCCGCTGTTTGTAGGATGCTTTTCCAGATGAAATGCCGTGATTTTGAACTTGATGAACTCGTTTCCAGAGATTTTGAAAGGCATTTGAACCCTACGAACTCGATTTGATTCATTATGAACTTTATGAATTCGCTTCGAGACATTTCGAGATGTCGTCCATTGTTGATAGGATGTTTTCCAGCTGGAATGGCGTTGCTTTGAGCCTTTTGAAGTCGTCTCGAGTTATCCTGAACCTCATGAACTCATTTCAAGTCATCTTGGGATGTCTTGCATTGCTAACAGGATCATTCTCCAGCTGGAATGGCGTGACTTTGTACCTCATGAGCTCGATTCGACTTATTTCGAACATTCTGAGCTCCTTTCGAGCCATTTCGAGCCATTTCGATCCTTTTTGAACCTCATGAACTTGTTTTAAGCCATTCTGAACCTCCTAAGTTCGATTCGGGACATTCAGAACTTCGTGAACTCGTTTTTGAGCGGTTTCGAACCTCATGAACTTGTTTTGAGCCATTGTTGAACCTCCCAAGCTCGTTCCAGGCCATTCAGAACTTCATGAACTCGTTTTCGAGCGGTTTGCAACCTCATAAATTGCTTCCAAGTCATCTTAAGCCCCTAAAGACTCATTCCGCCTCACCACAAGAGGCTGAGATGAATATGAATGACATTCACCTCCCATGACTTCGTCATCTCAATCCGGCGGTGCCAGGGGTCGTCCCACCTTGGCCCCTTGGAATGTGCTCCCCGACAATGTAAGAGCTGCATTATCAACCTTGGCCGAGGCGACGGTGAAATGTGGTGTGTTCTGAAAAGTCTCGAGTAGGCCTGCGAAATTTCCACGTCGACAACCTCCTGCGGTGCTAGATCCTTTGGCACCCAAGCTTTGGCGCTTAATGTGTATTTCATCCTTCGCGATTATGATCTGTCTCACTCCACTTGCTGTACGTCGCTAAGAGTCTGGTATCTCGGTAATCTTGTACACGTCTCGCATAAGGGGTTTGCAACCTTCATTTGGCGAAATCCGGCGCCATGGTCCATCTACAGCCGTAGCATCTCCTTCCACGCACCCTCCTTGGCTTCATGTTCTCATCCATCTTCTTGAACCCGCGCGCTGTTCTTGCTCCATCACCTTCTGCCTTATCTTTATCTTTGATCTCAGTAGCGAAGGCTTAAATTATCGCAATCCGATTCCTGAATGTCAGGAGCTGACTCAGCTGACTCATCCGGCATGGCTGACTCAGCACAGTCGTCCGCATCATTACCAACTTTGTATACCACGTTGTCATTGATGTTCAAAATTTTATTCGGAGGACATCTTAATGCATTTTCCTTTTCTAGAGTCCTAGGTTGTTGAGTAAGGCCATGAAGGGTTTCTGGATGTGCTTGAAGTTTGCTGAGGAGGTTGTGAAATTTCTAGAATCTCCACTGGAGCGATTGGGGTTCTCAAGGTATTTGGGTGTGTGGAATCATCCAGGGATGTTCCAGAGAGCTGAGATGACTCGCAGTCTTGTTGGGTGTTGTTCGAGCCTCCAGCTATCTCCCTATTGAGTAGCTGTATCATCATCGAGATTGGACGATGGGGTAACGATATCTGGGTACTATGATCTGTGGGCATGTCTTTGGGATTCTCTAGCCATTGGTCTCATGAAAAATCCGCTGCTATAGCGAGAGAGCTCTCCGAATTTCACGAGGAGTAAGTGTTCGAATCGTTTTCATTGCGACCCAGATGATTCCAGAGGGTGTTGCAATGAGCAAGTCTTGTCTTCCCATGATCCTGTAGCAGCACCTTTGCGATGACCGTATCTGGCCAATGAAGCTCTCGCTTTGCTCATACTCATGGTTTCTCATGCAGATCCCCATAAACGCTCTTGGTATTGCGGTACTCGTCCGTAAATGACGACAAAGGTACTCGGGTGATCCTTCATCGTGCCGATCTTTTCCCGAGTGTTTGCGCTTGAGCAAGGACTTGAGAGTTGCAGTTCTCTTGTAGGCCGACTTCTTCACGCTTTTTGTCGTTCTTCGCTGATTCCGTTTCTGTCCCGGACCAGGGCGCCGACTTGGAAAATTCAGCTGCGAGTCTAGCAAGCTTCGTTTTCAAAGTCTTCGGAACCACGCTGAGCAGTGAGGTCCAAGTCATAATTTTCGCCAGATCGATCCATTTGCCAGGAGCTTCTGTAATTTATCATTCTTGCCTGCATAATCTGATCTTCGGAGATGTCGCATGAGACTTCGTAACGAGATGTCAGGGACTTTTCGGATAATCGTGCCACTCCGCCGTTTCTCGTGTCCACTATGGATCCAGTATCCACGAGGATGCGCGGCATTTCAAATGCGAAATCGAGCACAACTTTGGCAGGATGAAATTGCGGATTCGTACATGTTCGCAGCAATGTGTCATCTTGACACCAGAGCGCCATAACCGAAGGCTGCACGCGAGCGTACTTGCCGATTTTGGTGCGTACATGCATAGGCCTCACCATGCATCTCGGGTATTCCAGGGTCGCAAGTGGAGAAGTGTCCGGCAAATCTCCAATAGTAAGACCATGATCCTCGCGAATGAGTCGTGTCTTGGTCGGGCCAAAAGGGTCCTTGTCTCGTATCATGCGTATGCGTCAAGGTGCATCCTTCTTGTCGCTTGTCCCATGGCTTTCTTAAGTTTCACCGCTTTCTGCTTACCAGGCGCTTGGGGCACCGGGTCAGATAGTTGAGCGTCATTCTGAATTGCCTTGAAGTCGGCATCAGCAAGAACGTGGGCAGGGGTGGATCGATTCCAATCTGAGGTTGTTGGCTGCTCTAGTCACCTTCTCCGAGGCGAGCACTTGGCGACCAGAGCCTGACTTCTCATGCGCCTAATCACGCGATCCACGTCGATCACCCCTAGGTCTCCATTCGGCAATCGATGCTGCTTCTGAATCTTGTGCTACATCCTTGTCGTTCTGGTCTGATTCGACTACCTTTGGCGACAATGGTTATCGATTTTGGCAAAGTGTCTCTTATTGCCAGAGTAGGCTTTGAAAGGTGCAATTTCCTCATTGTTCGGTCGTGCGACTTCACCATACTTCTCATCATTCTTTCGCTGTTCTTGCGGACTTTATCAAGTCACGTTGCATCTTCTCAGTGGTGAGGATGGCTTTGATATTTGGATCAAGCTTTGGGGTCTGAGTCCATGCTGGTTTGGGCCACTTTTCTGGCAGTGACTCGTTTCCCAAACCTGCGGATCCTGTACTGTGGAAAATTCTCCAGTCGTATTGCCAATCTTGAGGCGGCTTCGAAATGGATAGCAGCGTCATTGGTGATGTGGTGTGTTTTCACCTCACCGCTCACCCGCTTCTCGCTCAAAATATCCGGCATCTTGTCCACTGCCAATGATCTCAATTCCATAGGTAGCTTGTCACGCACAATCTTGGCAGCTTTAAAATATTGTTCAGCCGATTGTGTGCCTTGAGAGGCTCTCTTTGAGGACCTCCCAGCATCCACTGCCTTTCTGGCCTTGGCAGTCCTTGGTCGGCTTTCATGACTGCTACCTGGAGTATACCGTGCTCGTCGATGGCAGGGAATGGGCCTGTATACTCTTCAGCCTTACCTGCCAGCAAGCTTGCATCTCGTTCATCCAGATCGTTGAGTGAGTTATGGTGTGGAATCCGATCGCATCTTGGGCTCCGCCTTCTTGATCTATGTTCCCCAGTCTTCATTTATACCGCCAGTCCAGTGAATGATTTCACTTCCACAATTGGCGCCATCCTACGTAGCTTCGGCGGCGGGGTTGATCTCTCGTTGTGCTTGCTCATCGTTCTTCCGGGACTGTTCGGGGTTCTCGGCACTGGAGCCATGACCTGTCAAGTATGTCGAGTCACTGTGAGCCACGTGGGATGCAGATCTGCCAGCTGGGATGTCGTTTGTTGTTCCGATATGGCCCTGGCTGGCTTCACCACCTCGTGCGCACCGTTTGCATGTCCTGCTAGTGGTACTGCCCCGTTGCTGTGTCTGAGAGACAGGTTGGTGGCACTTCTGTGGTCTGTATTGCCGCAACGGAAGGAAGGCTTCGGCAGGAATTCGTGTTGAAGTCTTGAGAAATGGAACTGAAGGAAGGTGCGGGGTTTGCTGATATTCTCGATGAAGCCATGTGGGACATCTGAGAGTTCCACTTGCCTCTTCATATCCGATTGGCCATGAAACCCTCTCGTGATGCCACCAATCACTTCTGATACTGTTTTAGAGTAGCCGGGAACTGTACTTACTGTGCAACGTCGCCTATTCTCGAGCAAGCTTTCGGAAACTGGCACCTGCTCTGCGGATCTCCGGGCCCCAATTGTCGTTGATGTTGCGTTGCTAGAAGAGAAAAGGCGCAACACGCATGTACGAGGATGCTTGGAACGATTTCCTTGTCTAGCCAGGTTCGCGATGCGATTGTTGGTGATCGGTGGACTCCCGGCCAGAATGTCCAGCGGAGAATCTCTAGGGACGTGGAAAAGGAGAAAGGGAGTAAAAATGATAACACCAATGCGTAGATGAGGAATTGTGGCTTTGGACAGTTGATGAAGCGGGTTGCAGTGAATATCGATTCGTGGGCTGTGCTCCCCAAGCAGAATGTCAAATTTGCGTGCTGTGCGTAGATAAGGATAGCGATGTGCAGCATAAACGCGATGTGCAGCATGCTTGGCGGCGGCAGTGAGCGAGAGTGCCATTGCCATGCGCAGCGCTCTGCCAGCCCGATCAGGTCGGTGGTGGTGCCAGACGGCAGGAAGCTGGCTATGGATATCTGCTGGCTTCTGCCCAGTTGCGAGCGAGTGTTGGCCATTTTGGGCGGCAGATCATTGGCGGCAAGAAAGTAAGACAGGTGAAAGGAATACGTGGGAGGAAATCTTCGCTTTGCACGCAGCGATCTTTGGTTGCCAGCGAACTCCTTTGGCGCCGGAAGGTGCAACGTTGCATCATCGTTGATATTTGGGCTCATCGCCAGTCATCACTTCAGATGACTTCCAACACAGTACGCCATTCAAGCTGGCATCAAGATGGCCCTGATCAAATCAACACAGGTGCAAGCGAGGGAGGACCTCCTTCCATCCAGAATCCAGATCGGTGGTGCTCATGATGAAAGCAACCCTTATCCTAGTTTCTGTACTGCTTCTTCGTGCTATCCTCCTTGTCCGCGTCTTCGCCCGTTTCCGCGACCGTCTTTTCTTCTTCTTCACCGAACTTGCAACCTCACTCCCTGACGTAGACCGCTCCGATTGAACTTGATCCACCTCGAATCCCATACCCCCAGCAAGGACGTCAGTACGGCTCATAACATGATTCGGAGGAAATGAGAGTACGACTCGCGCGCCCCAAGACTACCACTGTGACAAAGAGTCGCGCAGCGTATGAGACGTGTGGGAAAGCGAAGTGACCGAAGAGCTTGACTGACACCAGTCCTCAATTGGCGGCTGCTCGTCGACGGCGGCGCGATACCTATTCGCCATGTTCGCGGAAATCGCAGCGTCCAGAAGCAGCGGTATGGCCAAAGCCGAGTAAGATAGTGTTTGGAATGGCGCTCTGGAGGTGGTGCAGAGAAGGAGATGCTCGAGAGAGGGTGGCAGGCGTGCGCGTAGTGATGGGAAGTTCGCAGGTCGTGACGGATTCAACGCCGAGGCAAACTGAGAAGGCCCCCACTTCCAATTCACGACTTCAACGCCTGCTCTTCACCATCTTCCGCACCAGCGCGTAATCAGAATGACGAGAGTTGGTGGAGTCAGTATCGATACCATCGGCCACCAGCGACACGAATCCCACCACGAGAACGCCAATTCTGAAGCGATGAGAAGCATGTCACAGCTCGACATCATTCGCGCCGCCTTCTAACATCAACGGCCTCAGTATCACGCACAGCGCAGTGGATTACTTACGTAATACTGCATTGCCGGCGGTTGAATTGGCTTCCTTAATTGCCTATGTTCTGCTCTATTCTATAGTCTAAAATACAATGAAAATTCTTCAAGCTAAGAAGTCACGTGCTTGTCATGTGACTGAGCTAACGCGTCACACACCCCCTTAGCTTATGCAAAAGAGGTTGCCTTCTATTTTAGGCAAGGTAGTTAATGCTTCTTTACATACAAATAAAAGAAAAATTAATCTTTTCAACTCCTTATATAGTACTTTATTAAAACACTAAAAAAATAGTTTGAATCTATACTATATATAAGAGAGTCTTATTTTATACCCCGATTACCCTAGAAGGATATCGTTACATAATCCGGACTGTATATGCACCTTTATATATAGTCCCTATTACTAGGAACTATTGTCTTCCTACGTAGTCTAAGTATAGACCGACACTACTAAGCCTTACCTAAGTACTCGTATCGTATAGTAAAGTTAGTTTAGCTAAACTAAGCCCGTTACATTATTACTATCGGTTATTATATTAATCGCATAGGTAGCGTCTATTTAATTAGATAAAGGATTAGGTAAGATATGCATTAGTTAAACAGATTTAATAAATTAGGATAGGTAACTTAACTAAGGACGCTACCCTTAGCTAAGACTACTGCACTATTATTACTAGCACTAATACAATCGCCGTAGACTTGTTATTAGTTAGTAGAAGTAACGTTCGAAGTAATAATATAGGCGACAATAACGTATTAGGAAGTAAGGTTAAATCCTTTATCCTAATTAGTCGTCGCTATCGTATTAGACACTTTTGTTAGCGCTAATCGATGAAGGTATACTTAATCGACTTAGTTACAATTAATAGGGGGGGGGCGGCGCCTACTACCTATTATATAGAGTTGTCTTCGTATTGCTAAAAAGGAAGAGGTTATTAGAGGAAGAGTTGCTTCCTTATATACCCCTGTAACTATATATCTTAGTTAGTTATTAGGTTAGGTAGTCTAGTTAGTCTTAGTTGTTTAATAAACCTCTTCTAGTTCTAAGGGCTATAGAGCTTAGTCAACCTATTAGCTAGCATGTCCTATATTGCTAGATACTTACATTGTATGCGACCTAATTTATATTCTTAGCGTAGCTAGCATTAATAAATGTCTATATGCCTAAGCTTAGTGTCTAACTTGCTAGCATCCGCCTTAATAATTCGAATAGTCTATGTGTTATTATAGTATAGTACCGGTATGCTATCTAAGGTAAGGCTAATATTACTAAAGAAGCGCTTCTACTAGATTAGTTCTAAGCCTGCATGTAAGGCAGCTAGCAGCTCGGCTTTAGTCGTAGACTTAGTAACAGTTAACTATCGCGCTGCTTTCTAATTAACTAGTCTATTAAATAGACTAAATATCTATCCTTCTAATAACTGTCTCGTACCCGTATAGTCGCTATAGGAAGCGTTAGAAGCTCCGTAAAATTCGTGAAGCTATTAGCTTAAATAGGCGGTAACTGCTAGTCTATCGGCGTTGTACTCTAAGCATAGGTGCCTTGTCTATAGCAGGTACTTGACATACTAATTGGCTGCGGCTATGTCCTCTTATCGTAGGTTCTAAAGGGCCTTTAATAGCATAGAAACTGCTTTAGCTATGTCCGGCCTAGTTTGAACTGCTAAAAAGTTGAGCGATCCTATACGGCTCTAGTAGGCTAGTATTGCTAATAAGTCTATATAACGAGTCTCCCTATTAGTAGGTTTCTCGTATAGTTCGTATCTAGTTAGCAATAGTGCCTCTGCTCGCCTACTAGTCTTAGGATCAATTCTATAACGCTAACCTATCTTCTTAGTATATGCCTTTTATAACAACTATAGCTTCCTATTCTGTCTGTTACGTATAACTTCAATACCGAGAAACTATAAGAGCTTTCCTAGGTTACTAATTTTATATTCCTTCATTAACTTCTGCTTAAGGTCTATTGCCTTTTATATATGCTATCGGTAATACAATAGTACAATGTCGTCTACGTAGAAGAAGATAAATACCTGTTTGTCTAGGTCGGTATATAGGCAGTCTATATTGTCTACTAGTTGTATACTAAGTTTGTTTTCTAGTGTTATAGTAAAGTAGTTGTACTATAGTCGAGGTAACTCCTATAGACTATAGAGTGCTTAGATTAGTTTCAACACCTTACCCTTCTGCTTAAATCTATTAGGTAGCCTAAGGTATAGCGTATATAGGAACATAGCATTAAGGAAGGCATTAACTGTATCCATTTGCTTAGCTTCTAGGTCAAACTTAGCTACGATAGCTATAAGGGCTCTAAAAACTCGTATAGCTAGTGTTAAGGCATAGGTGTCTAAGTGTGTATTCTTCTAAAGGTCCCCTCTCGCATATACTCTTACCTTGAACTTAATCAGTCGTCTATTAGCATTACCCTTGTATTTGAATACCTAGGTAAGAGGCAGAAGATTAGGCTTATCTAGTATGTTTAGATCTACCTATTTAAAGGTACGTGTCTTTAGTGCCTTATTGAATTCAACTCTTATAGCATGTATCTATTGTTCCTTAAACCGGCTCTTAAGTACCTGTCGCTAGTTACGTAGCTCTGCTAGTAGGTCTGAGATCTTCGGTGTAAGGCTTGAATTATATTCGTCGCGTAGAAGTAGTAGCGGTTCTAGGGGATTAGGTAGATCGCTACTAGCTTGATCATTGTCGGCGCTGTTACTATATATTAACCTAGCTTCGTGCTCTACTGCTATACATAGGTTGCTAAATAGAAGGAGGTTTCTCGCTTAGTCTCGGTCGTTAACATAGTAACGGATCGCGGCTGCTCGTTGTCGCTTGTTTGGATTATTAACACGATAGTATAGACCTCCTATATTTAGTAAGTAACGATGAGATATATTAGCTGCTTCAATTAGCATTAGCAATTTAGCAAGCTCTATACGTAGTAAATTCATGTCTATATTATCTACGTAACCTAGTGCGTCTACATTGTTAGTAGGGTTATAAGTACTAACATCGTTCTTAGGTTATTAAGGTTGCTAATTAATAGTTGGTTTAACTAATTTACTTAGCACGTTATTACGCGGTTGTAGTATTTCGCGTAGATCAATTAGAAAGTCTTGTTTCTATATAGGCACCTATATAGGCTGCAGCTTAGTTAGTACTAGTGATTCTTTCTAAGGTAGTAGTAGTTGTAGTCTAATAGGGTTATCTGTTAGCCTGTTAACTATTATAAGTCGACTAGGCCCTATTAGTGTATCTACCCCCTTAGCTCCAAACCTAACAAGGTCTAGAGGTATGTCGTAGGCTTCTCGAAGCTCGTTAAACTAATGCTCCGAGGCGGGTGCTTGTGCCTCTTCGAGATTACTATATTCTTCTGCAAGCTCTTAGTTAGTTATAACAACACCTAGGTTATTATTATAGCTATTATAGAACTTGGTTTTATTAAACACAACGTCCCTTATACGTAGTACTATTATTCGTAAGGGTACCTATATCCGATAGATAGAGTGTCCCTCGTATCTATATAGGTATCTAATATAGGTTCGTAAGGCCACTTTTATAGTGTTTGGCAGTATAGCCCTCCTTTTGCTATTAGTTGTCTCTGTGCCGTAGATTACTAGATATGCCCTTACTCTAAACTAGTAGATATAGGCTATATTCGGTTTATAGCTAGTGCTAATCTCATATAGTGTTCGTATTAGTAGATTAGCTGTCCGTAACCTTAGTAATCTATTAGCGAGGAAGGTAGCTATATAGACTGCTTCTAGCTATAGGTTGTATAGAAATCCGGCGTATATTATTAAGGCTCGAGCTACCTTAATAATAGTACGGCCTACTCGCTCTACTAGGTCCTACTCTAATGTGTATAGGGCTGTTAGCCTCTAAGTAGTGTAGTTATTGCGTAAATAGGATCGAAACCGAAATCCTAATATACCCCCTTTATTATTAGATAACAAACAAATAATGTCTCTACTAATGCTGCGTACGAAGGTAGCTAACTAGTTCTAGCACTAAAGGAGAGTTGATTCCTAGCGATTACTAATTGTCTATATAAAGTGAAGTCTAGTATTTAGATCGTATACATAGAATATATACTAATCACTATTGTAGGCTAGATCTAGCTGCATTAGGTCGGCTACAAGGTGTCTATATAGAGTTAGTATCGACATATTATAGTGCCTTAGCCTCCTAGAGATAAGCCTCTTTCCCTTTGCTTATACATATATAGGACAAAGTAGTGTTCTTAGTACCTTATTGTTATGTGTGTAATCTCTTGTTATCCTATCAACCCTATTAACTAGCTCTTCTGCTCTTTTAGCACCTAGGTGCCTAAACACCTTATGTATTTGCTTTAGTGTAAGCTTCCTTAGCGGTAGTAGGCGTGCGGAGCGACGGGCTGTTACGTAGGATAACTGAGGCAGTTAGAAGGGGTATAAATGTAGCTTGCCTTTATCCCCTATTAGCTATTTAAGCGGAGGTTTACTATCTGCTTTATAGGTAATATCGAAATAGGGCATATAGTTGTCCGGTCTAATAAGAGGGACTAGTAGTTTCCCTTATAGGTTGTAGAGAACATTATTAAGCTTATTGTGCTTAAACCTACGGTAATAGAAGATTGCCCCTCTAACAATATTAGTATAGAAATTAGGGACATAGAGGCACTCTTTCAGCTTAATAGTTAGGGGTTTACCTGCTACTAACTTAACTATAAAAGATGCCCTTCCGATAGCGATAACTTTATTGTATCTAGTTCCTATTACTATAGTAGCTCGCGGTAGAATAAACATTGCCTAAAAGTTGAAGCGACTAGGGTAGTTAACAATATTGCAGTTAGATCCACTATCGTACATTAGGGCAACAAAGGGGTTCTATTTCTTACTTCTATTTATAGCTATTAACAGATAGTTAGTAGTTAGTACTAGGGTAACTAATGTAAAGGCTAATAGGTCTAGAGTGTCTGCCTTAAAGAAGCAGGCTAGTAAGACTTTGTCTAATCTATTGCCTATTCTAGCATCGTCTCTACTATCTTTAGCCGAAAGTCTATAGTGTTACTATACAATCTTAATAGCTAGTAGGTCCTTAAAGAACTTAGCTTGTCTTAGGCAGAACCCTTTGTTCTTGCGTAGGTAGGACTCGAAGTACTTCAGTTTTCCTTTCTACTTATTGTCCTTATCCTTCTCTTTAACCTGTTCTCGAAGGCAGTAGTTTACTATAGTGCATTTGCCGCGGTTTTCATATACCTTCTTCTCGCCTACTCTAGTAAGCTTAGTATATGTCTTTAGTATACGGTTGCTACTATTACTGCGGCCCTTATTCTTATTAGGTTTGTCGTTGTCGTCTATAGCTTATAAAGCGGCGTTAGTACTAGCTTTACCTTCTTCGTAGATAATGCTAAAAGATAAACCCTTCTTCGTAGAAGTACCTAGCATATTGCGGGCATATTCTCGTACTATGCTAATAAGTTAATAGAAGTTGTTAACCGATAGCCCTGCCTAGTACATTATATAGAGCCCTTTGCTATAGGTCTTATCTACATTTGTAACTACAGTATATAGGTAGGTTACTAAGTTGTTAAATTCCGGGTATTGTATGCGTTTTATTGTCTTATAAAGATCAAGCTATTCCTTATACTAGTGCTCTAGGTCCTTTACCTACTTAGAATTTACAAGGCGGTAGAGCTCCTTGCTAAGGGCAGTCCTTTGCTATTAAGTATTAGGTATAAGCTTGTTCTTCAATTAAGTTAGAATAAGCCGCATAGTTAGTGCTACGTTATCTATATTAGGATTAGTAATCTCTAAATAATAGCGAATGTCTATAGTTGTAGCTAGATATTTAATTGTCTTATTGCGAGCTGTCCTAAAGCGTTCAAACTCCGCCTTCCTTATATTAAAGTATTCCTTAGTAAGCTTTGCCCTAGCCTAATATAGGGGGTTGCTTATAAGTTGTTCTATATCGAATTCCGGGAGAAGGGGTTGTACTAGTTTAGTTAGCTTAGTCGAATATAGGTTAGCAAGGACCTAGGTCTTATATCTAGTTAGGTATGTCTTAGTTTGCTTAAACTATCGATCCTAATTATTAGGTCTACGAAGGATAATAAGCTTACTACTACCGAGGCGACTAGCTAATAAGAGGGCTATTAAGGATATGCTAAATTCGAAACGATTATAGAGGCTTATAGAAGCTTAAATAGTTGTTTTCTTATAGTACCGATAAGACTTTCGATTGTTGAAGGTCTCGTAGAATAGAAAATTCTTTCCTACTATAGAAGTCTCTAATACCGCGGATTAAATCCGGGCTTATAACTATCACGTATAGCGTAGTAGATTACTTACGTAATACTACATTGCCGGCGGTTGAATTGGCTTCCTTAATTGCCTATGTTCTACTCTATTCTATAGTCTAAAATACAATGAAAATTCTTCAAGCTAAGAAGTCACGTGCTTGTTATATGACTGAGCTGACGCGTCACACTCAGGCACATGTGAGGCACCCGCCACATCGGGACGCAGCGACTGTATCCTTCCGCTCTCACGATCTGTCTTCGCCACAGTATCATCCCAGAGCCCGCGTTCGCAGAGCGGACAGGTGCAGAATCCGGCATCCCAGGATGCTGTCTCGGGTTGCAAACAACTCCAAAACATTGCTCGGAATGACATGGGAGAAATGATTTCCACTGGCCTTCACCATCTCATACGCTATAGCTTTCGGGAGTGTACTTGCACACGGACGCACTTCTCTCACAGCCTCACCAAAGCGCCGTCGATCTGGCTTGTAAACATGCTGCAATGCTTGACGGAGGCGGGATTCTATCATATCTGCATCTCTTCCTACTCCCGAAATTGACCTCCAGTCTACCCGTCGGCAGCTATCAGCGATCTTTCCCCACTTACCTCCATTGAACTTCATCTTCGTTGAACTTTGCCTTCGTTGAACGTCACCTTCGTTGAAAAGCTCTCCATTGCACTCCACGATCTTCATACGCGGGAAAAGATTGCTCTCGTCACAAGCATGGATTCAGAAACACCATCCACACCTCAGCACAGCACCTCCAACACCGGCAGCCGTAGCGAAAAGAGCTCCGTCGGCACCTGCAAGGACGCCACTCCCACTAGCAGCACTCGTACTGGTAGGTCTCCAGCTCGCTATTTGACCTTGATCCTCTAAAGCAGGAGTAATCCGAATCTGCAGATCTGCCTCTTGGGCCTTGCGATGACAACATCCCGCTCAACGAGAATGTCTCCCTCGACAACAAATTCTCCAGTAAGTCTCTATGCGGCAGACACTCAACCCACCACCGCGACTAACCATGCAATCGCCCTTAGGCTCTCCACTCATTCCATACAACCTCATGACCTCCGACAACCTCTCTGACACCGATTGTGAGTTCTCTCCTCATTATCATCTCCCTCCCAACCCTCAACATTCTCCTCAACCTCTCCTCCGACTAACTCGTCAACCCAGCCGACACCCCAACACAAGCCCTCTCCGAAGAAAGCGATATAGACCAAGTCCTCTCGGAGGACAGCGATACAGACAACGACCCCGACATCGGACAAGACTGGTTCCGCGAGACATCATCTACGCCGCCACCCACTACACCCCACGCAAAGAAAACCGGCACCGAGATTTTCATCAACAAACATGACAAGTGGGCCAAGTGGCGGTGTTGGAAATTGAGGAAGGATTTGAGTGATGCCGCTGTCAACCCATCAAGTTACGACATCTCATCGTCGCCGTTCTCGACCCCATGCAAGCGCAAAATGGCAGGAAGGGATGAGTGTGGTTTGAAGGAGGTTGCTGAGATTCAGGATTCGGGGTATGAGGGAAGTAGTAAGAAGAAGAAGAAGATGAAGAAGACTGCTGCTGCTGCGGCGTAAACGAGGGAGGTTGGATGTGGAAAGGAGTGAGTGTGTGGGAAATAATCCCTGTTTGCAAAGTTCCTTCTGCGATGTGGATTCTATTATAGAACAGAGCAGAAAAAACCCATCCCATCATCGTAGTCATCAACATCTCAAAATTTCTACCTCGCGCTGTGATCCCTCATAGCAACCACACGCCCTCGAGAAATCCATCCATCCTTCTTCCTTCACGATCCATACATATCCCAACCCTCAAAACCAATCCTTCAAAATCCCTCCTCTCCTCGCACCAACGACCGATTCGCACCTCCAATCACTTCCACCAAGGAAGTAACGGAATCCCACTTTCCATTCCATTCAATTCCATAGCTTTAGGAATGCGTGGATGATAATCAAGGATCGCGCGGGAGTTTGTTTGTATGATGATTATGATGCGGAAGATATGAAGAAAGAAATCCGATAGGTTGGATAGGTGAGATGCGAGTTGAGTGCTGTTTTCGTGAGGATGGTGAATGGTGATGTTGGGCCTTGGTGGTTTGATTCTCGGCGTTGATGGCTCTCTGGAATGGATGTCAGGTTGAGACGAATGTAATGCTCGTTCATATACCTTATACTAGCAAAGGAGAGTAGATTTGATTACACATTACGCCCATACAATCCCATCAAACCAAAGAATATCCTCCCACCCTCCGCAACCAACAAATGAGTTCCACAACCGAGGTTCGATTCGAGATTCCCAATTACAATGCCACCCCCTCTTCCTGATCCTCTCCCTCAACCTCGAATCCTCCATCCCGCACCAGCACAACTAGACTCGTCATTGTAGCAAGTGTGTTGACGGCATCGGCCAAGTTTCCGGCGTGGCAATGCTCACGCAGTTGGGACCAAGCGGTGTCGAGAGCTGATGTGAGAGCTGAAAGCATTGCGGTGGATTTGGGATTGGGTTGGGATGTGGGTGTAGGGTCTTGGGGCTGAGAATGAAGAGGACTGGGTGCATCGGCAGTGGGAGTGGGAGGAGGAGGAGGAGTGTTGGTATTGGATGGCTGTTGATAGCGATGATGGTTTGGTAATGTGTGATGACGAGTGGATGCTGCGGTGATGGGACTGCTCTTGATGCGTGGGTCGATAGCCTCTTGGTGGTGGGCGTGAAGGTCCTGGAAGCCGAGTCGCTGCTGCTGCGGATTCTGCTTGGGCGGAGGAGCACGGAGATTCTCCGCCATGTCTAGGCGTGACGGCAGAAAATCAGCATCAGTGCCGATGACTATCATTCCGGACTTGCGATCGGAAAAGTTGGCGTCGTCGTCGTCTGTGTCGATTGGGATGAATGGTGCTCGTGTGCTGGTGTGCGCAGACGTCGTCCGAGATGCCCCATAGAGTCGGGGCTGCATTCCTGATTTCTTCTTCATCACATGCGATGGGGAACTCAATTCGTCGTCAGAAGTCTGCAAAACATGGTTTCGTAAGTTGATGCGAACTTCACAGAAAGGACAGAAAACTGCGTACATCTTCGTCTTGGACAAATAAAGGGTTGCGCAGTCTGCAGCTTCGATGCTTTGGAGGTGACGGTGGTGCTGATGCTGCTCGCACTGCTGGATCGTTCTCGCGGGAAAAAGCGGTCATTGGGCTTTGGTGACCCTCTGACATAAGCACGTCCAGACTATCGGACTTCACGCCACGATGAGGTCGCGGTGTCCCGGAAGCTCTGCTGCTTGGTGGTAGACTCGCCGAGGAAGAATGATGATCGGGAGGACGAATGCCATAAGAATTGCCGGCAGCACTCTGAGTGGTATCCGATCGATCGATAGCTTGAGGCATGTGAGCGGGCGACGTCGTCCGCAGGCGCATCGAACCATGCAGCAAGGCTGTCGTAGGCATCTTCTCTGTTGGGTGACGAAGCTCAGGGTAGTTGCGCATAATCCAGCTTAAAAGGTTGCGCTTGTTCCGCTCTTCCTCTGCGGGTGTGTGTGGAAGAGGTGGTGTCCAGGCGAGAAGGTCGTACAATTGATTGAAGTCTTTCGGGGAGAGATGGTTGATGTATGTGGTCATAGTGTGTGCGAAGTTCGCAAGCGCTGGTCGTGAGGCTTTGTAGTCGCAAGGCATGTTGGAGTATGCGTGCTAATGTGGTGTGAGATGACGACAGGATTGATGGAGGAAGTAGAAGGAGAAGAGGAGTATAGGAGCTCAAGATGGGGATGTGTGGGCGATACAATGTTGGATGACTGTCGACGGCATCGACGCATGGACATGCACATGTACTCAAGGCTGTGCCCAAGGCGCGTTGGTCTGATTGGTACGTCTTCTCAATTCGTCATGCTGCTTCATCTGGCTAGACGGAGATTTAGGACGGCTGGCCCTAGCTCTGACCATCGCAGAAGACAGCGCCCATAATCACTGGCCCTGCTACGGATGCGAGAGGCTAAGGTGCCCGCGCGCGCAATGGACGTGCCGCTCCATCGTGGTCGATTTGATTGGGCCGGGGTGACTGGCCCAAACGAATGCTGCCCAGATGGGAAATGAAGTTCTCAATAGGCGTATGCAGCGTTTGTATGATCTCGGACCGTAGTTCTCTGGCGGGGCGGGGCGGTGGACGTTGCGTCGACTTCCAATGGCCGGGAGGATGGCATGGGTGCCGTAGCCTTGTCCGTAACCGTAGCCGCGAGGGTGAAGGCGAAAAGACGGACTTCGCATGGGGCCATGGCCAGACGCTGTGTACGTGTGGTGGCGTGCGTGTCAAGTTGTCGGTGTCGCTGTGGTGCTTGATCTCAGAATCTGCGCTGGGCGCAGGGCGGGGGCGGAGATGAGTCAGCAGCATCAACCAAGGGCGGAGTCGGAAGACCTTCCTGAAATGGAGAGGTGGATGAAAAGCCATCCACCTCAAGCATCGGCAGCAGCAAGACGGGCACGCACGCACGCACGCACACATACGCATAAACCAAGAGGACAGCTCTTGGCTTTCATTCTGCCTCGCCTCGCCTCGCCCACGACGGTCGTCAAGAGCCACCTCGAGCACCACTCCTCGAAAGCTGTAGAGCCGACTTCGGTGTCCTCAGAACGATCAGCTACAAGTAGAAAAGTGCCAGCGCCGCATCGAGCTTAACAACAAAACCATTGAAGATGAGGAGCGCAAGGAGTGAGAGAAGGCATACGCAGAACATGCCACGCTCACTATGAATTCCCAGCCCAGACCGAAGTCGCTGTCTGCAAATGTAAAGGGGCGGAGGTTTCGAAGCAGTCCACAGACCCAGAACCATCGGACTGTTTGATACTGGCAGCGCTGCTAGCACGCGTCAATAGTGAAGCGAGGCAGGTTTGGGGACGAGGAGATGCCAGATGCAGCACGCAACGCAGAGCACAACCCGATTCAAGAGCTCAAGAAGAAGATGCGGATGGGCAAGAATCACCGCAAGCCAATAATCCGATCAAGGCCGCATTCCACTCAACTCTGCTGGATGAAGCAAGGCGCCTCAGCACCTTCCGTCACAGCACGCCTGCGAAAGACGAAGACGAAGAATGGAAGAAGCTCGAAGACGCCACCGGAAGCATGGGATGGAGGCCGAAGCCACCATCTAGGTAAGAGCGTGACCTAGATCATGTGTTCGCGCTACAAGCATCGCCCCACGATCGTAGTCGGTGCAAGCTAGCCGTCTACAGCCCTCCGCGCGAGAGAGCAACCAGGGTGAACAACGTAGCTTATGTCAATGCTAGTTCGGCGCAGACGGCGGAGATCAGAATCAGTGGCTCCGGCAAGGCCTTCATAGCAGCGATGCAGACAGCAATTGCGAAAGCAGTAGAGAAGAAGTTGGTCAAGATGGAGTTTCTACAACCAATATCGCCATCTCTACAGACAGCATCAATGAACCAATTTACCATAGCAATTCACTTATTGGCAATGCACTTGTAGAGGCTGCTGCCATCAATCATCTGTGCCATTCATCCGAAACAGACACGCTCTCCTTCTCCTTCCTCTTCAGCGTGGCTTCCTCTGTAAGCCGAGCAGGCTGCGCTGCGCCAAGCTTTGAAGGCTCAACGGAGACCGGTCCGTGCCTGAACGCGCCGGTGCAAGATCTTCTGGCGAGACTGCATGTTGCCGTCTCCGGCGCATCACAATCAGCTTTCCTTTCCTTCCATATACTTCGTCTCCGCCGCGCGAACAGATCTCACGCTGTCTCACGTTCATCGTCTACTTGGACATTTGAAAACGACCCGAGCAATTCCTCAAAACCCCGCCGCCGACCAGACGCCGCCGCCTCTCGCCCTTCTCCGTATTTCCTTGCGCTCCGCCACGCACACACATCGACATGCCCGTATCCGTCCGCGCCCACGCTGTTCGCCATCTCGTGGAATGAGCCGCTTGCACCTGATACGGTCCCGTGTGCCGGGCCAGGCGACGACGAGGTTTCCGCGAGACACAAACACCTACATGAAAGAGAAGCTACTTCAGGAAACCCCGATTGATCAGAACCCGCCCAAGTACCTGCACCCGCATCCGCATCCGCGCAATCTACCATCAATCTTGCTTGTTCCTCGCTCCTGATACGACACCGTGGGCCAGACGATCGGAAAAGCACCTTGTAGGCAAAATTTCATTTACGAAACCAGATGAGATGGACATCGTCATACTGGGCATCCGTCATGTGCGGAGCGCTCTTAGTGAGATGAAGAGGCATGCGTGGGTGACAGGAAGGGCTCCTGCGTATTCTTATTATTCTTGTTGTTGATGATGTCGTTGTTGCTCTCCATCACGCCGCACTCTCTTGCTCTGTCCTGTTCTCTCTCCAGGCATTCCTCTGTCCTCCGTCCATCTTTCATCGTGCGCATCTTCACTCTCGTTCCTTCCTTGGTCAAAGCAATTCTTTCCCCCATCCTTACGCACAGAGTCAGCCATGGAATGGGAAGGACATCCAAACAGCGGCTTGAGTAGCAGTGAAACAGGTAAATGTCTCGAGAGGGAACCCCAATCCACCTTCATTCCTGACATTCCGAGAAGAAGCGATGATGATGCATCTCGACGACGGAGATCAGCCACTACCAACGCCAATGTCACCACCAATGCTCCTGCGGCAATCCAACCAAGAACAACCCATCCCACCATCCTCGACAACTAAGCTTCATTTGATGAATGACCGCCCCTGGCTTCTGCCAAACTACGACAGCCTATCACCGGCATCAATACCACCAGTGCCTCGTCATCTCATTCTGCCAAGTCATACACACGGCGGACTAAGTGCTGCCGCACCTCATCAGCTTTTCGACCCGAAAGACCTCTTCGATCTCCGCACGAACCCCGACGAAGAAATGGAACTTGAAGAGGTAGCGGCACTCTTCGGTCTTGATCGGGCTGGCATGATCAGCACCAACACGCCATCCACACCCAATGATATCGACATGATCAGTACTCATCCATCATCCACACCCAATAATATCGACACGATCAGCTCCAACCCGTCATTCACACCCAGCATTACCAGTGGTCCAGGACTCATCCACAGTCATGTCAACATCACCAGTACCCCATCGCAGATTCTGGTTGCTCGGGGCGATCCACGCGCCTCAAGGTCGAGCCGGAGATTGAACTGGAGACTGAGAAACGCGCAGCAGAACGGTGAACTTTTGCTGAGTGAGGCAACCTCCTCCCCTTTGTCCTGTTCTTCTTCTGGGAATACTCATGTGCGGATGCCACCGAGAACCCCTACGACTAGGCCTTGGCGGATTGATAAGAGCTGGAAGTGGAGTAGGACGAACATGGGTCGTCGCTCTCAGTAATCGCTCTTGCTTGCGGAATGGCGTGAAGTTGAGGTGGGCGGAAAGCAAGGTGGGTAGAGGGGCGGGCATGGAATGATAAGATGTAGTTCCAAGAGGAGAGCCCGCGAAATGAGGATTTCGTGGTCACAAGTAGCGACAACTTCAATCCCAGTCTTTCTCGCTCGAGCAAAATCAACCCCGGAGAATCATGTCTGTGGTTTGTGCAAGTCGCTTAACTCCGTCGGCAGAATGGATCACAACGCTGGCAAGGTGTCATGCTTACCTCCCAGATCAACAGACACCCTCCTTCAGCAAAATGGACCGTGACGCCCTCCGTAGCAAGGTCCACATCGTACCAAGTCCTCTCTCCCATCGACGGAAATCTTACTCGCTAAGTCTCTCGCCTCAGTCGGCAGTACAGACGTTCACACTGTTCGTAGCAAGATACCTATAGTACGTCGAGCCAGCACATACATTGACCAACGAACTCATATTCGCCGGGAGCTGCTCGTAGGAATCACGAAATTTTCCTTCTCTGCCTACTCTATCCTCTCTATTTCTCGTAACTCACGCTGTAGTTTCGTCGTACATTTCCACATCGCGCCTTCCCTATCACACGCCTTGCAATCTCCCACGAAAGCTGTGTGTATTCGTAAAATCCAGCGACGAGGTCGACTCTGGTGAACATGTATCTGAGTTGTATGGATCAAAGCGAGGTAGAGTGGAAGATCGTTCTCGTCCTGTGGGAGGTCGTTGTGCACGACCTCATTTATCTACATGTAGTTGAATTGAGTATTGCCTCTCCCGAAATCACATCTCTGCATGCGGATGCATACACAAGGAGACTGGCTCCGATAGCGCCGAACAAGAGGGATCTGATCGGTCTGGTACGGACAGCTAGTAGGATCCCGCGCTGCTCTTGCTTGTGCACTGACATCCCAACGCTCGGATTTTCTCAATAGCCTTTTTGGTCTTGTGGAGGAATTCGCTCACTAGTCGATCGTCTGCGTCTAGGGTGTAGTCGTGTGGGTTGCTCGTTACGATGTCTTGCAGCTTGTCCAGAGTATCTAGCAACTGAAGCGGGATTGATTCGTTGGTCGTGAGTGGGTTTGCGCAAGTCCAGTGAACAAGCTCCAGGGTTCCCACCAGCCGAAGCTTATCCCAAAGCATGCCTCCTTCCATGAGACATGGCGACAGAGTAAGCGGAGAGTGGATTACGCGCACCCCTGGGGGCATCAATAAAACGGAATGCTGACCTGGGCGGAGAAGTAGGTATCGAATCTTGTTGGCCGGCGGAATGTAATCGGGTCCTTGCTGAGTGTATTCGTCCACTTCTGACGGAGTAAGATTGACGGCGATGAGCCATAACTTAAGTCCTTGCAGAACCTTGACCCAGGTCCCAGCGAGAAGATCGTGGTGAGGCCGAGAGTATGCTAGCGTAGATGCAAAAAGATTGAATCTCCGCGCGGCTGAGACGTCATTTGGGGAGTAGAAAGTCTGTTTGCCGGCGCGGCCGGCTCGCAGGCACATATCCAAGGTCTTTAAGACATTGTATCTCGGGTGAACAACGAAGAGAGGCAGTGGACTTTCAACATCAGCACTCAGATTGAGCAGATTGAGGGGCGTATCCTTGACAAAGCATTTCGCAGAGCTGTCCAGCTCTGTGCGAATTCTGTCGGCGAAAGTTGACGTGGCTATCTCAGCAGTGAGAGACGGAGACGATTCATGCTCATCGCTTGGATGGAGGTGACGTAAATCCCTCGGTTCCAGACCAATTCGTTGACTCTCCACCCGCTCAAACGCGATAGACAGAGTCGTAAGATGTTCTTTGATGATATTGTTATCGTCATCCGAATCTGGAGCTAAGTCGGTGAGGAGGAGAGGCCTGTCAGGCACAAATCCAGCTGATAGCCGCTTGTAGAAGTCACTCGCGGTGACAGAGAAAACCTCACAGTATGGACTGTCAAAGGACCCGAAATGAGGACGCTTGGCGGCTGAGACCCATTTGATTGCACTTTCGTAATGAATCTTCATATGCTGATTCCAGCTCGCAAGGTGGGTGAGGTGTTCAATGAGACGAGGCTTGCATTCCTCGAAGTTGTCCAAATATTCTTTTTCGGTAGGCAAGGGATGGTCGGGTAGAGGGCTTGAGAGAGGTTCGTGTCCATTCAGCGCTTGTAGAAGGCTTGAGACAGGTTCCGGCGAAGGAGAGTCATCGCCTGCATTTAGCGCTCCTGCATCTTTGTCGAGTGCAAGAGACGGAGGCACTTCTGAACCCAAGCGTGTCTCCGAATCATCATTGGATTTGGTCGTGCTGCCGGGCGTTGCAGGCGCGTATGGCGGGTCGGGTCTCGGTTTCTTCGGGGGCGGCGGGTTTGAGAGATCTTCGGGCGAAGCAGATTCATCGTCTGCATTCAGCGCTCCTGTATCTTTGTCGGGTGCAAGCACTTCCGAACCCAAGCGCGTCTCCGAATCATCATTATTGGGTTTCTTCGGAGGTTGGGGAGCTTGCTCAAGCTTCCGCTTCTTGCATGTAGGCGATTTCGGATCCTGCTGTGACTCGACGGGGAGGAGGAGGCCATATTGGTCGTAGCTGTGTGACTCTGACGGGACCAAGTGTGGAAAGTGGACCAGACTGCCATTGTCGCGCCAATTCGCGAGGTCTGTCAGGTCTTTCTGGCCGAAGGGACAATGAGGGTTCGCGAATTGAGACGATTTAGCCAACGGCCTACGCGCCGCCATGATGCGATTCAGGCGTTCGCGGGCAACGTGCCAAGAACCAGATGCGTTGGCGGCCTTGCGCAGTTCTTCAAACCACTTTCGCCCGCCGCTTTCTCCCGGGGGGCGCACATAGTACTCCAGCGCCTTGACGCCCCATCGTCCTGCGACGGCGATATAGGCTGCCCATGCCGCACGGCGCTCGTCTCTGATCCTTTTGTCCTTCGTTGGCTGTGCGGCAGACAGTTTTTGCACCTCCTTCCAATCATTGTGGTCTTGAACATTCGAGAAGATCTCAGCGACATCAAGGCCAAACTCCTTCACTGTCGTCTCGATGATGTATGCGCAGTCTTGCAGATTCGCATGTCCCTGCACAATGCGGCGAACGTAGGCAAGGATGATCTCTTGGCGCGTATGTTGGGCCTCTCTGCTGCCCGGTCTGGTGGACTGCAATTGAGCAATGAGCTGTTGAAGCGTCGGGGCGATTGTATTGTCGCTGTTGCCGCCGCTGATCAGTCGGCCGAGAGTGGCATGCGTTTCGCTTTTCTGCAGCGCCATGGTGAGGTATGGAAACGAACGACGTGTTGCGCTCAACCGCAAGCGAGAGCGGTCAGTCGAGGTGGGCGGGGCGCTGGCCCACCTCGAGTCATCGAGACCTGGATTTTGCAGTGCGGCCTGGGTTTTTTGCAGCACGGCCTGTACATCATGTGATGCCTTGCTCAACACTCAAATCGGACACTTTCACAAACGTCACTTGGACACATGATCCCACTTCTCGAACAGCGTCCTATACAAATTGGATCTGGTGGAATGTTGTCGTGCCATGCTATCGAAGAATGTCCAATACCACTACTGCTGCCATGGAAGTTGAGCTGAGATGCTGTGTACTCGAGAAGAGAGAGGGATCTGATCGGGCGCCGAAGCAACGGTACTCAGCACAGACTTCTCAATCCGTGACAGTGGCATATCGTGTGACAAAAAAACATTCAAGAATCCATCATCAAGCTCTGGCACCATGGCAGAGTTCGACGCGCGAGAGACACCATGACAGTCATGTCTCAGACCCCCACGACTTCGGGACCTGCTCCATGCCATATTTCTCTGTGGCTGTTGGGCCGCGAGCTTCGCCATTACCAAAACCACATGGCAGATCCGGCACAAGATTGGTAGCGGTGACCGTGGGCGGCGTGCCAGCAGCTTCGCCATTGCCAGTACCAAATGACAGGTCGGGAAATGAGCCGGCGCTCGTCCTGAGATTGGTAGCGGAGAAGATGTGTGCAGGCTCAGCGACGGGAAAGGCTGCTGCTGACGGCTGACAATGAAACGGGGGAGAGGCATAGTAAGGAGAGGGGAACGGGGTGCCGTTGAGATCCGTACAGGCGGCCGAGGTAGAGGTGTGCGGAGTGCCGTGAGCTGTGAGGACAGACGGGCGGTCAGGATAGCAATAGACATTCCCAGATTCCAGCACGTTCGAAGGACCACTCGGACGTACACTTGTTGGGAGCTGAGGTGGCGCGTGGTCGTCGCGAAGCTGCTGATAGAGGCCAGACGGGGCGCTGGGGATAGCATGGCGATTCGAGCGGGAGGCATCGATATTCGCGGAACAGGAACTGTCGCGGGTGAACCGTAGACACGGCAGGGGTTCAGGCGTGAAGAGACTCATGTGTGGAGGTCTTGCCAGGCTGTCGGGTGAAGCTTGGTTTTGCGTGCTTGGACAAGCTCGTCGCCGCTTAGCTGAACGGGTTGCAGTGTCTGGGCGAGGCAATAGCACAGTGCGTCGAGAGGTGTGCCGGGCAAGGGTTGCGGCGCGTTTGGTCGCCTGCTTGGACAATGGTTCTGGGGCTTGACGCTTTCTTTTTCTGGCTCCTGCTCTTGCTGCAGGCTCCTGTGCTTGGTCTTGGTCTCGCTCTCGATCACGCTCTCGATCACGCTCTTGATCATGCTCTTGATCTTGCCCTAGCTCTCCCGCTTGCTCCTCGACTTGTAGAAACTGCTTGCGCCGCTGAATTCGGCGTTGTTGAACAGCCTTCAGATTGCTGTTGCGACATTCGCCGCCGAATGGCACGATTTGAGAGCAATCACACTCGTGTATATGACCTCCCTCCCTGGCGTCACTGCCTGTGCAGTATATGAACATGAAATCCGTGGATGTGTGCTCGACGTCGTCGGGGGCTGGGAAGCGAGAAGGACTGTCTAGGGGTGTGACATAACGGGCGAAGTGCTCCAAGGTCGCCAGATTGGGTCGCACGAGGTAGGACGTATTAGGTTTGAGGGGCATTGCGTACAGCGCTGCTTCCAAGTTGTGGTAGAGGGCGGCGTGGCGGTAGCGCATACCGTACTCGAGAGGCTCGGCGCATAGAGAACAATGCTTCCAGTCGGCGGAGAGCATCAAGAACGTTATTTCGTAGCGGTGGATCGTGTGATTGCATTTGGAGCATATAGGGTCAGTGAGATCGAGTAGTTGAGACATGATTATAGCGCGAGAAGCTCACGCTGGGAGTAGGAGTAGGTGGACGGGAACTCTGAGCGTGTGCGAAATGAACTGAGATTCGGTGTGCGCGCAGAGCACGGCTTACATTTTGCAGGCAGCCGCCGTGGCCGCGCCTTTGCGGTCGCATTGGGAACAAGTTTGAAGCTGTGCGACCAGAGGATGCACGCCGTGTTGCACCGTAACCGGGGGGTACACAACCACACTGGAGCGGGGCGATCAGGCTCATAGCGAACGAAGATTGATGATGCGATGCGATGCGATGCGATGCGATATATCAATGCAGGGCAGCGCAGGGCAGCGTTGTGGATGAAGAACGATTTGGACCAGCTAGCATGAGAGGAGGAAGAGACTTCTCGGCAAGTTCTCGGAGACTCGTCGGAGACTCGTCGGACTTCGACTGGGTCTCCGAGACAGCAGAATTCCAACAACTCCGTGTCCCCTGCCACTCGCTCTTCACTGCACGCAAGCGCCAACACGAGGCGTCACTATGTCTACAAGCCATCCAGCACCTTCAATGCTTCCCCTCTCTCCTACGACGGCGCGGCGACATGCACACCTGGACACCACGAGAAAGAGGCAGACGTGCTGAGCGGCAGGACCTGGCGAATTGGGTTGCAATACGAGGTGCAGCATGATTATGGTCAAGCATGCGCCTCGCAATCGAATGATTGCTGAGACGCCATGTACATCGACCATGTCATCAAAAATGGCGCGAGGCGCTGTAAGCCAAAAGCGACCGATCCGCCGGCGCCGAAGAGGTCGAAGAAGCGGGTGGAGAAGGCGCACATACACGAGCGAACACCACCGACGCTAGTTGAAGCAAATACCTACTACTCAAATACGTAGCAAGTTGCTCAACAACCGCCCTTCGCAATTCCAGGTGGTAGCGCTGCGTTCTCTACGCTTTTTCCTTCACTTACCCCCGCAGAGGGGAATCATCGCTATCTCATGCCTCCGCCGACAGCACCGGCCAATATGCGCCTCCGAGTGCGACACAGGTCTCAGGCGGCATGCCTTATGCACCGTCGCCCTCCAATATGTATCAACGTCACTGAGTTGTGTACAAATTGCAAACATCTCGGATTTCGCCACACCGCTATCTTGCTAGCAAGCTTTTCATTTTCAGTGACACGCCCAGTATCTATCAGCAGAGTCGTCAAAATGCATCAAATTCCCTACCGTACGAGCTCTTGCGCGATCTTCAGTAAGCCAGCGGAAACCACGATTCCGCGACAGTGAGGCCACGCTTCTTCGAAGGCCACGCTTCTTCTAAGGTCACGCTTCCTCCATGGTCACGCTTCTTCCATGGTCACGCTTCTTCCATGGTCACGCTTCTTCCATGGTCACGCTTCTTTCAAGGTCACGCTCTGCGCTTCTTTCACGGCCACGCACCACACGCTTCTCTGGAAGGTCAAGGGTATAAGATGTGCGATGTCAGCACACATGTCTCCTCCACAGGGCAATGGCCGAGTCTCAGTGGGCCAGCATCTCTCAGCTTCAAGCCTTACCCGAGAGACGACTACTCGAAGCTCTTACTCAGACAGCGGCCAGATCCTCGCCAGCGACGCGAGATGAAGCTCAAGATCGTCCTAGACGTTCGCTCTGACAATGACATATACAAGAGTACTCTCGTGATCTAGAATGGTGACGTTCTCAAGCATCCCCGTAGGCCGCAATACTTCCAAGATCTCGACGGCGAGTCGCAGCCTAACGACATCGACGAGGAGGGCAATAACCAAGGACTGCAACGTTGGCTACATTCAGATGAAGAGCACACATATAGATGTGTAAAGCCTGCTCGATCGAGCTAGAATCTGCCAGCCTCACGAGACTGTGCGCAAGGGTGTGTTGGTCAGCAAGGACAAGAGCAGCTCTGGCTCTACTCCAGGACTTGAAATGCCGCTTCAACGCAGCGGACAATGCCAACGAGGAAATGTGTTCTAAGCGCAGGCTCGTAATCCTAGGTTCCATAGTCGCCGAATTGCGTAATAATCCTTTCACGATTCAAAATGTGTCCAATGTCACGCGATATGTTGTGTTATAGAAGGAGTATAGGCACTTTGCTTCTCGACAAGCTAGTCTACGGCACAATTCTCCTACAGTACCCTTTTAAAGTAAGCGAAGGTCATCAAATGGCCAATTTGCGATCGTCTTCTTAAACCTCCGGACTTGTAGAGACGCCAACACGACATAGTGGACACTTCGTAGCTTGTCGCCACTGCTAACGCTGATCTCTAACCTGCCAGCGCGTAACACGTGCTTGAAAATCTTAGCAGCAGACCGTTTGAGCTACAAGGATGCCGATTCTTCCACAGCCCTTCGCAGATATTAGCAATTTTGGCCAAGACGCTTTGGCGATAGCACGATGCCGTGGTCTGCCCGTCTCCATCCACCTTTGCACTGCACCCAGACAGCATCCACCGTTTCATAGGACCCGTAATACCGTCGGCGGCTGACATTACACATGAATTGGCAAACTCCAAGTCATCGCTTACTAGAAAACTTTTCGACTACCACCACTTGTTGCCTTCCTATGTGTGATTTGCCCTACCCGGGTGGACTGATGAGTGCGCTGAGCACTGGTAGGCATGTGTCCACATCTTGCTTGAGTTCGCCGAGGGTGTCTGTAAGGTATGGAGATGGCAATCACGGGACATCAGCTGGATTATGCATTCTGATCGTGTTGTGTTGTTCACAGGGCGAGGCGACGATCGGCCATCCTGAGCGTCACCTGTGCGATGAGTTGGCTGGATGGTAGAGGTTTTGCTGGCGGTTGCGTCTTCGTCGCCGAGCCCATGTCACTGGGAAATACCGTGCTGACTTGCGCGGCAAGCTTGAACAGCTGTAGCCTAATCTGAGATCGACGTTGCGCCACGTAGTTCGATCGTCTAGAAACCACGGAAAGTTTCCCTCTTCCGCAGAATCTCATGCGTGTCCCCGTCACAGACATGTCGCTATTTCGAAAGCTCCCTACTGCTGGCCGCATGATTTGGAAGAAGTTGACAGCCGAATGTGGGCAGTAGGAGTGGTTGAGCTCACGCTCACGGCAGAAGCTAGGAATTGACGAGCCAGCTCACCGTAGGTTGGTGCCAATGGAAGGGAGTAGCTTTGGGCCAATATTCTCGATAATCAGGAATTGAAGGTGAGAGTGGAAGAGGGAAACGCGACATGTCCCCAGTTACGAAGTGAGACTTGAGCCGTCGCATGCGAAGCAAGTAACAAGAATCAATTGGGTAGTATGTCACACCGAGATCACCTCGTGACATAAACCCACCTCCTTCTTCCGTTGTTTTTTTCCTCGCGGGACATGCACCCACCTCCTCTGTCCGTTCTTTCGTGTTCTTTCCTGACCGTTCTTTCTTCAATCTCGTCTCTTCCCTCCCAGACCTCGCAGATTCGTTGATCAGAGTCGCTGCGGGAATCGGAAGATGAGAATTGTGCCGTAGATTGTCGTGTGGTGAAGACGGATGCGAGCGGCTGATGCGACGTCGTGCACGCAGCAGCGACCTTGAACAAGAAGACGACGCGCAGGCTCGGGATTTGCGAGCGTGCCTGGAAATACTGCTGCGTGCCTTGGAATGCGCGTACCTGGGAATGAAGAACACACAGACGGCCGAGAAAATGGCTCGAGGACGACCAAGTAAGAGGCCGGAACATTGGAGAATGGAGGAGCATGCGGATATGCTATCGGAAGTGCGCGCCCCATGGAACACATAAAAGAGCGAGAGACTGGGTCGAGGATGAATGAATAAGGCTGGAAATCCGTCGTGAGCAGAGTTTCTTGGAATTGCAGATTCAATCTGCGCCGCCATCACATCCATTACCGTCTTCATCCTGTCCGCCAGGTTCGCTTTCCACGACCGCCTGCTCAGCTCGAGCGTTCGCGGCCTCCACTGCTCGACGCCGACATTTAGTTGCGTAGTCTACGCTGTTTCGGTACTTCTTCAAGCCGTCGCGAAGTTGTGCAGGAGAGCTATAAAGATATTGGCTAGCGATTTCCGTTATAATATACCGTAAGTTAACGTAGACGTAATTACCGGCCTAGTAATCTAGCGTAGCGCGTCTATGTTAGTTTATATAGTATTCGTAGACCTCCTAAGTATATATTATCTCTTCTTAAAGTTCTTAGTATATCTAGGCTATTTAAAAAGCGAAGGCGTCGGCGTCTCGTTTCGGGTCGCTAGCTAGCGGCTCTAGTTCGATCTCTATAGGTTCTATTCTAGTTTAGAGGCAAAAGCCGGCTAACGCGTAAAAAGATATCGTACGGGTCGTAGCTAACTCCTAATTATTAATTATAAAGTTAATAAAAGGCGTTAATCTAGGCTAATTAGTTTAGTAGTAATTATAGAAATACCTAATAATCTATTTAATTTAAGCGTTAGCGCGTTCTGTCTATCCGTCTATCTATAGCTAGTAAGCTATTAAAAGGCGTACTTAAATTTTAAATCGTTTATAGAGGCATTTCTAAAAGCGAGTAATAAAATTCGGGCCTCGGTTAGATATAATTAATTTAGGAAGACCTATATCTTTCTATACGTCTTAGTAGGGGATCTTAGCTATATTCTTAGTAGTTATACTATAGGCGTTTAAGACTTTCTTATATTTTATAAGGCGATAGACGACGACTAGTAAGTTTTAATACTAGAGGCTATTAAAATCGGAACCTTTCTATTAGGATACGCTCTATTAAGCGGAGACGGACCCGATTATAGTATATAAGATAATTAATTCTATCTACGTTCCTACTCGGAGGAAGTTATATATATTAATCGTTATAATCTATAGTAGGATCGATAGTATCTCTAGTAGGATCGGCTATACCTATATCTAATCCGTAATAGTCTCCCCCTTTAAAGGAAAGATCTATACGTCCTTATATAAGATATGCCGCCTAATACTTACTAATAGTATATCCTTTTACTTCGTACCTACTAATAGCTATATAGAGCGTCTATTGCTTATAGTAGCTATATAAAGGCCGCTTTATTAGGCTTCGGTTCAATAAGGCTAATACCGAGTTTAATAGTATTATTTATTAGTCTAGCGGCGACAATATCTAGTAACTCGAGGTTATATAAGTTAGTACTATAAGTCGTATCTAAAGAGATAATATATAGCGTATCTTTATAGGTAGAGAGCGACCGTAGATAGAGGGCAACTATTAACTAAATTATACTATTATTAGGATTAGTTATTATCTCGTAGAGGATTGAATTCTCGTCTAGTAACTTAACTATTCTCTCGGCCTAGTTTAACTCTCTTCGAGGGATAGTATTACGGTTAAAAGCAATATTATATACGTCGTATAGCTTTAGAATAATCCCCTACCCTCGGAAATAGGCTATAATCTTCGAAGTTAGTATTTGTAACTACTATAATCGCCCTAGTTGCTTAAGGAATTACTAAGACCTCGTACGGATACGTATATTAGTTAGTAAGATAACGTCGTTAGGTCTATAGTTATACTAGCAATATATCTCTTTAGAAGAGTAGCGAATATACTACTTACCTTCTAGCGTATAAGGGTCGATAGTAACGGCGTAGAAATAGAATTTATAGCTAGTCTTCTTTATCTTCTTCTTCGCCTTATTTGTCGCTATCTAGGTACGTTTATTAGGCTTACTAAAGTAGCCGTAGACGTAGAGATAGCGGTATTTAATACTATCCTTATTCTTCTTAGGTTTCTACTCTTTAAATTCGAATCTAGTATCTATACTTAACGACTAAATATAGCGCGCGAGCGTATACTTCGAAGGAAATAACGACTAGCGAGGTAATAGTCTACGAGGGCGCTTAATCGTTATAAACTCGTACTTTTAAAGTCGCGGCGATACTAACCGATAATCTAGTAGATTAGTAATTTAATACGCTCGCGTAGTAGCGATAGTAAGCGCGAGCGGCCTCTAATCGAGCGGCCTCGAATATATATCTCTAAGACAAATTCTATCTCTTCCTATAACTCGATAACTACTACCGAGCGCGCGCCTTTTATCGCTATTTCTACCTTTTCCTACGACTTAATAACTACCGCCGAGCGCGCGCCTTCTATTGCTATTTCTACCTCTTCTTACGACTTAATACGCGCGCTATCTACTACTATTTCTACCTATTCCTAGTAGTACGACTTAATAACTACTACTAAGCGCGCGCCTTCTACTATCCCTTCCTCTACTACTACCTCTACTACCTCCGCTACGCTAGTAATAAGATTATTATAAAACTCGTCGTATAATAGAGACTTAGCTATTTTTAATAGTTACTAGGTAATCTACTATAAAAGATAGAAGGATGCGAATTTTAGGTTTATAGTAAAAGGCGCGACTCCTCCGCGCCTATTAATAATACTATCTAGGAACGGATCTAGAATATAATAGGTAGAAATAGTACGTAATCTAATTTAGGGCGATTCTATAATCTACTATATTACTAGGGCTCGGGGAAGTAGCGAGGACCTTAGTAGTGTAGCAGGCGTCGGACACTCCCGTCTGCAGTTACATTACGAACATTTTTATGAATTAACTCAGCCGATAGGAAGAGAGCGTAAGGTATCGTGTTAGCCACCTCAGAGGCGTGACGAGGCCTCAAGCTGCATTGACATCTATCCAAAATAAGCATACTCTCCGCCCTCTGACATTCTCTCCGTCATCTCAACTAACAAAGATTTGCTAAGCTGCGCCCTTCTGCGCATATCTCCCAGCTCCAAGTCAGCATCACTGCCCGACGGATCACGAGCAGTATACTCTTCCACCGCAGCTTGATCACGCAAGTACTGCCCATGCAGCAGCGACAACATGGCCTGGCGCATACCGCCATCTGGGGCCGACGGCGGAGGATTGCCGCGGCGGCCTTGCTCGATTTCTTCCTCTTGATCCTCAGGGCTTGGCTGGCGGCGGCCTTTTCCCTTCTTCCTCCTCCCATTACCTGCGCCTTGTGCGCCTTTGGCGAAGCCATCATCTGGTCTGGCATTGCGCTTTTTACCCGACGCAGTGGGCTGCTCACCTCCTTCTTCTTCTCCTTCTTCTTCTCCTTCTTCTTCTCCTTCTTCTTCTCCTTCTTCTTCTCCTTCTTCTTCTCCTTCTTCCTCCTCTTCTTCCTCTTCTCTACCTGCTCCGGTTCCTGCTCCTGCTCCTGCTCCTGCCCCTGCTCCTGCTCCATCATCATCATCCTCTACGCCAGGGATTCCAAATTCACCGCCCGAAGTCGCCGAAAACGAAAGACCAGTGATGCCAGAGGAGCGAGGCAGCGACGGGGGTCGAGGACCGTCTTGGTCCATTGCATCGGTATGGAAGGACGACGATTCTTCCGGCAACTTCTCCAGTGGATCTACAGCCCCACCCTCTACTGGGGCTTTCGCCAAACCAGTAGAGGATGGTACTCCTTGTATCGCCGCAGTTACCGCCAGGATATCGGTGGTCATCAAGACCGGATCTCGTCTCGTGTGGCGTCCATGATTGCGGAGTCTTGCCAGCACCTGCTCGTCCAACCTTCTCTTCACCTCCACTGCTAGCACACCCTGCTCTTCTGCAACTCCCGCAAGCCTTCTCATCTTATCCAGCATTTCACCACTCCAGGCCGCAGGCTGATACCTACCAAAATTCCAGTCGAAGGCATGTCCAAACCGGCGATTGATGGCATCGATTTTCTTGACAATCTCCTGCTCCTTTAAAGCCGCTGTAGCTCTGGACAGCATCATGGCCTCGTACTGCTGCTCTTCTTCGAGCCGGAGCCGGGCAATGATATGTGGAGCATTGTGCTCCAACCAACCAACTACAGCGGCAATCTGGTATGTATTGCGCGTAACTGCGACGCTGAGGTTGCGGATCTTCGCCTCACAAAAACTGACGCGCGACACCATATCCTGTCTCCGGCCAATTTCTGCGAGAATTCGCAGCCTTTCAACTGCTGCATCGAACGGCGGAGCGGCGAGGAAAGCGGAGGACGACATGGCGGCGAGGCGGCGAGGCGAGGCGATCTCCAGCGGTTTCAAAGTGTGAAGGACCACTCAGACAAGATGGTCCCTGCTAGGCTGGACGGATGCTTCAGTTTTGCGAATGCTCTGAATCGTGACAAGGTACTCGGCTGGGTGCAACAACAAAGTCTGGTTCCGCATCTGGCATTCACTACATGGCTACTACTCCAAGCTACCTACTCGCCCCAAAGTGACCAGGTGGTGGGTGAAGCAAGTGCGATACCACAGTCCCCGACTCCGGGCTTGCGACTACCCTCGAACATTACAGTCCCGAGCGGGACTCCAGACATGCGACTGCTCTTTAAGACCATACTCCCGCGCGGGACCTTGAGGCTGCGACTGCTTCGATCAACGGTCAGAAGTACCAACCTCGTTTTGCAGCGGTAAAATCGCTATCGCGTAGGACATTCTCTTTCTTAGAGGAGGCAGACAATCGTATGAAACCTTCTGTGTAAGTATGCTTATCTAGGTCTACGGATACGGCTATAGTAGCTAATAGCCTAGATACCTAGTCGGAGGTCGGCGTATACTAAGTATCCGGTTCTATTAGCAAACCCCTACCAAAACTACAATCCACGTAATATTCTCGCGTCGCGTAGGGCAGGGGTAGGATCAGACCCTACCGTCGCTAAAATACAAAGCTAAAGTAATAGCGTAGAAATAGCGGTATAGACTAAAGTAAGATATTATTAATAAGTTTATATTATAGTAGAGAGATATATAGACTTATTTACGCTTCTTACTAGACCTTACTATCGCCGGCGCCTTCCGCTTACTTAAGGCAAAGTTATAGGAGATAGTTTTATTAAAAGAGATAGATTATAAAGGCCGAGGAGGTAGGCCTATTACCTATATAGAAGGCGAAGGCTCGTACGAATTACTCTATAGAGTAACCTATGCCTCCGGTATTACCGGTTATATAGTAGCTAGTATAGTAGACTCGATCTCTAAAGCCGCTAGTACTCTTAAGGCATCTACTACTACCTTTTCTACCTCTTCTATATCTACTTCGCGAACCTTCTTATATAACCCTACTTCTTTAACTATTATAAAGGGCTATACCTTAGATAGAAGATACTAGCCTTAGGTATTCGGCCTATACGATACTAACCTACGGCTTAGTACTTAGCGTACCGTATAAAACGATTCGGATTTACGTAGATAGACTTAGCTCCTTATCGAACCTATTAAGTCTTATATCTAGTATCTACGTATACGTTACTTATCTATAATATTAGGTTCGATCTTTATTATAGAAAATATATAGGTTTAGTAGGAACCCGAGTAAGATAGTTAGGAGAACGCTACCTCTACTGTACTAGGAATATCTAGAGAGGCAGTCTGCTGTACCTTCGAAAGACTCTATACTAGGTAATAGACGATAGAAGCCGAGCTATAAGCTACGCGCTTCGCGCTCTATTACGCGGAGTTGTCTCGTTAAGCTACTACTACCGATACTAGTACTGCTCTAGTATAGGATTAGGTTACGAACGAGATTCTAAAAGGGCTCCTTAAAACCCTCTCGGCTACTAATTAAAGTATAACGGCGTTACGCGAGTAGAAACTACTATTATAGGATAGGAAGGCTAATTCGTTCTAGGACTATCTTCTACGTCTAAGAAGCTCGTACCGAGTTCGCTCCGGACTAAAACTAAAGCTCTCCGAGGATTACTACTAAGATACTATCTACGATACTCTACCGGCGAAAGAACGCGCTAGGATACGCTACTTCTAAGAGAAGGGAAGTACCGAAAAAGGAAAGGATCCTAGAGCTTTCTTCTAGTAACTTAAAAACGTCTTCGCGGATAGTAACGAGGCCGCTAAAGCGCTAGAATAACTCTAAACCCTTCGATAGACTTAGGGATAACCTTAGTACGAATACTAGCTAGAGTTTAACGGTCTCCTATTAAGTATAGACGGAGATCGGTAGACTAACGATATTAAGATCGGATATCTAAAGAATATCTTCTCGAACGCGGCTAAGATCTATACCGCCGCCGTCCTAAAGTTTATAGAGTACTATCTCTACTTAAAGGAAGTCGAGCGAATTATAATAAATCTCGAAACGACCGACTAGTTTAAATAGGCTTCTAAACGCTAGCTCGAGAAAAAGAAGGAGGCTACTAGTAACCCTACGATTATTATCCTACCTTATATAGCTCTAGCGGTAAACCTAAAGATAGACTCTAACGGAGACGTAGTTATAAACCTCGCTTAGACGAACTCTTTCTATAGGAAGAACCGCGGAGGCTAATAAGGAATAGGAGGAAAGCTAAGGGCTAAATAGGTCGACTCTATAGAAAGAGAGAAGCGTAAGGAGAATAGGCTCTACTTCTATTATAGAGCGAGCGGATACTATATTCGTAATTACCCCTATACGCCGGCTATCTAGCTAACTAAGATTAGCGTTACCTCCGTAAAGCCTATACTAGAGGACGTAGAAGAGCCGTTAAGCTTAGATAGCTCTAACTTAGGAAAAGAGTAACTATTACCTAAAGTTAGGAGTCGAGAGTAGGTAAGGCGCTAGTAAAGAAATAGGAAGAAGTTAGAAAGGATATAAACGGGAACCTTATATATACCGATATAGTCCTTAAAAAAATATTAGAACTTCTACTCCTACTAACGAAGGATACTAGTACTACGCTATAATTAACGCGAGCCTTACTAAAGGCCTCGGGCTTAGCTACGCTAGTTACAAAGCCCGAGAAGTAAGAGGAGCGTCGTCTATAATATAGAACGCGAAAATTATTAGAATCGTCGCCTTCTAAATAGAAATTAATAGATTCCTATAAACGGTATATACCTACGTCGTACTAGGATTAGCCTTCCCGCTTATCTTAGGAAACCTATAGAAGGTATATAATAAGGTTAGGACCGCCCCCGAGAAGCAACGGTACTATTACGGAAGAGCTTAATATTAGGTTAAAGAAGGACGTCGCTACTAAGAAGTAGACGATATCGGGAATATTACTATAATTAACGTAGCGAGGAGCCTACTTACCGCGATAATCGTAGAGGATATTAAGAAGATATTAAAAACGAAAGAATACCTAACAATTAAGGAACTAAAGAAGAAACTACCTTTAGAGGTTTAAGATATAGTAGCGCTATTTTACTAGAGGGAAGCTAATAAGTTAGCTCTATACCGTCTAGGTATTAACTATACTATAGAACTCCGCGAGAACCTTAGCGGATCGTAGCCTTAACTCCCGTAGAGGCCGTTATATAGTATATCGAAATAAGAGCTCCTAGTCCTCCGGAAATCTCTCGACGAACTACTATAGAAGAGACTTATAAGACCTACGAATTCTAAAGTAGCGGCGCTCGTACTATTCGTTTAGAAACCCGTTAGAGGACTCCGGTTCTACTACGACTATAGAGCGCTTAACGCGCTTACGAAATATAATAGGTATCCCCTTCTATTAATCTCGGATACTATAAGGAAACTAACGGAAGCGCGATAGTTAACGAAAGTCGATATAGTATCTACCTTTTATAAAATTAGGATAGCGAAGAGTTACAAGTATAAGATAGCCTTCCGAACGAGGCTTAGATCGTTCGAGTAGTTAGTATACCCTTTTAGATTATCCGGGGCTCCGGCGATATTCTAAAGATATATTAATACTCTCTTATAAGAGTATCTAAACGATTTTGCTTCGGTATATATAGACGACGTCGTAATCTACTCTAGCGATACGAGGGGAGATTGTTTCTATAAGGCAAGGGCCGTTCTTAAGAAACTCTAGAACGGAGGCCTATATCTAAACGTAAAAAAGAGCGAATTCGCCTAGAAAAAGATTAAATATCTAGGATTTATCGTTTACGCTAACGGAAAAGGAGTTTTGGCCGACCTTGAGAAAGTAGAAGCCGTATAGAAGTAGGTAGCTCCTAAAACCTAAAAGGAGGTCCGCCGATTTCTAGAATTTACGAACTACTACCGAACATTCGTACTAAACTACTCGAAGATCTCCGTACTATTAACCGCGCTTATCGGGAAGGGTACCCCGTTCTCCTAAGGACTTAGGAGAGGAGTAAGAAAAAGCGTTCGAAGTATTAAAGAATAAGTTCTACCGCGCTCCGGTACTCGCCTAGTAGGATCTATTACTTTCTACCTTCCTCGAAACCGACTATAGCGGTTTCGCGATTAGGAGCGCGCTTATTTAAGAAAATGCCGGGGTCCGGCGTTTAGTAGGCTTCTTCTTAAAGAAGTTAAATAAGGCGGAAATTAACTATAATATCTATAATAAGGAGATACTTATAGTTGTATCTAGTATTAAATTTTAGGACTCCGAGTTAAAATCGTATAGACCCTTTACGATTTAGACGGACTATAAGAACTTAAAGTACTTTATAGTAAAACGGTAACTATCCGAGAGGTAAATTCGTTAGTAGGAGGAACTAGCGAAATACTAGTTTACTCTAGTTTGCCGACCGGGAGTCGAAGTTATTCTCTTAGATACTTTATAAAGAAGAGAATAAAATACGCTAGGCTAGAACGATAAACTTTTGCGGTTTAGAAGGTTCTTAGAACTAGATCTCTTACTAAATTAGCCGGAAGAAGTATAGATCTATAGCGCGATAATTCGAGATTTCCCGTATACGACTATAACGAAGTTAGTATCCCTACTCGTAAACGAAACTAAACCTATATAATCGTTACTAGAAACCGTAGGCCCGTTCTAGGACCCCGAGATAAACGAACTATAGAGAAACGTAATCGAGAAGGACGTAGTATACCGGACGGTACTACGGAAGATATAAGAGGAGGTCCGCTCGTTATAGCTAGAGATTAACGCGAAGATCTAGATCGGAGACTATATAATAGACCCTAAGGGGTTCCTTTACTACTATAGTAAACCTTAGATACTAGGAGCTTATATAACGACGGAAGCCGAGTATAAAACTAAAAGTATAGGATCCGAAGAGCTTAAATAAGACTCCTTACGAACGAAAGTTATTTAGTCGATTTACGACTTACTACTATATAGGTATCCGGGCCTAGACTCTACCGCTTCTATACTAGGACGCGACTTCTATTAGCCGCTATAGTTAAGATAAGTACGTTAGTTCCTACGGAACTACGACTACTATAGGCGTAATAAAGTATAGAGGGAGTATAAATACGGCCTCCTAAAGCCTCTACTAGTTCCCGACCGTTTCTTTTAGGAAATCTTAATAGACTTTATAATAGACTTATCCGAATCCGACGGGAACTATTACCTATAGGTAATTAAGGACCGCCTTAGTAAGTAGATTACCCTAATTAGTATATCTTCGATAAAAGCTAAGGAGTATATAGCTTTATTCCTATAATACTAGGTATAGTATTATAGACTACCTAGGGTAATTACGAGTAATAGAGGCACGAATTATACGAGTACGTTCTAGAAGGAGATATATAGACTTCTAGGCGTAAAGTAGAGGTTAAGCTCGGCCTACTACTTATAAACCGATTAAGGCCCGGAATACACGAATTAAGATATATAGGCGTAGCTTCGGAACTATATTAACTAAATATAGTCCGACTAGAACCGATAGCTACCTATAGCCGAACTAGCGTTTACCGGCCGATATTAAGCTAGGTTAGGAATAAGCGCCTTTTTCGCGACTTACGGTTATAAGTCTACGTCTCTAGTTATACTTAAAGAGGACCCCTCTATTAATAGGTAGCTAAACGCGGTAAAGGGGCGGTAGAGTTTATAGATAAGATTAAGAAAATCTCTAATCTATACTAAGTATAGATAGGGGAAGCTACGTAGAAATAGGAGGATAGCGCGAATAAAACGCGGATACTAGTACTAGTCTATAGAGTCGAGGATAAGGTCTAGCTCGATCTAAGAAACTACTAAAGTAATAGACCTAAGAAGAGCCTAGACGCGAGGTACGCTAAGTATATAGTCGAAGAAGTCTTTTCCCTAGTCTTAGTACGACTCTCTAGTATTCTAAGTAATATTTACCCGGTATTCTATATATATCTTCTACGACTAGTAAGTACGGATCCCCTACTAGGGTAGAAAATCGACGACAAATAACTAGAATCCGTACTATTGGAGATATATAAAGAATAGTAGGTTAAAGAAATCTTATACGCTAGGAAAAAGAAACAAGGTAAGAGCCGAGAGGTACTAGTTAAGTAGACGGGTTATTATAAGCCTACTTAGGAAACCCTTAATAATATCGTAGATACTACTACGTTAGACGATTTAGAAGCTAAATACGGAACGATAGATATAAACGACGGACCTTTAGGAGATTAGGAAAAGAAGGGAAAGCGTAGGAAATAGGGCGGAAACTAGACGTTTTTTTTTCCCGCGGAAACGAGGAGTACTAGTTTTACTAACTCGTTAGGGTTTAAGTTTTATCGTTTCTTTCTTTAGATTTTAGGAAGGAGAATATAATTTAAAGAGAAGAAAGGATTTTATTTAGGTATATATAAGTAAGTATCGGCTCTCTAGCCGAAAATATAAGGATCCTTTAGAATAGAAAAATTACTCTATCGAAAATATAAGGACCCTACTAAAAGCACTTCGGGAACCCTTATCTATCCTTATTATTAGAGTCTACCGGAATATTACGGTTAGTACCGAGGCGTAGAGCGCTAGGGACCCTACTAAAAGAAAAGGTTAGAGTAAGAAAATAGACAGAGACTACTAATATACTTAGGTTTACGACTACTAAGCTACGATATTAGCGACTATATTCGTTACCTCTATAGCTACCGTTCTAGAACTTTAGGTTAGCGGAGGAAAACAACCGGATACCGAGAAAACTAACCTAGATAATAATCCCTCTAGCTAAAGAGACTTTAACGCCTTCTAAGCCTTAAGAACCTTAAGGAGGTCCTTATAACGAGCGACGACGGTATTACGGATCGCGCGGGTATAGCGGGCATAGGCTACGTAAGCTATTTAAGGACTAAAAGGTTAGCGGGCGTTTTAATATAGAGACCGAGGAAACCTATAGAGGGACGTAAGCGATTCTCCTACGAGTATATTTATCGTAAGCCCGGAAGCCGGAAGTCTACTTAGAATTAGCGAAACCCGCGCTAAATAGTACGGAAACCGAACTTACCGACTAGTCGGTAGAATCTTCTCTAGAGTTATAGTAAGCTACGTAGTAGATTCGACGATTAACTATCTAAGAGAGTTAACTTTATAAAGAAAACCGTAGAAGATTAAAATAGTACCTTAATATAGTAGTAGTAGTAGTAGTAGTAGTAGTAGTAGTAGTAGGGGTATATATAGAAAAGAAAAAGAAAAAGAAGGAAAGGAGAAAATATTAATACTACTAGAACCTAAGTCTAAAGTAAAGGGCGATAATAGAACGGAAGGCGTAGCTATAAGCAAAGCCTTTCGAATAGTAGTAACGGCGCGGTATAGAAGGCGGTTAGTACGTAAAAGCGCGCGGCTTAGAAGTCGCGACGAAGTAATAGGAAAGCTAAAACCTAGGATACGGTAACCTCGATAGAAGAGCGCGGAAACCTCGAAAATAAAAAGAGGAACCGCGGGTACTTTACTTTAGAAAGATTAGATAGGTACGTTCTCGATATCTAAAGTAATAGCGTTAGAAACTATAATAGATATCCTATCTCCTATAATAGAGGAGGGGGAGGACGGGGATAATATAAAGGGCTACGCCTTAGGTAGAAGATACTAGCCTTAGGTATTCGGCCTATACGATACTAACCTACCGCTTAGTACTTAGCGTACCGTATAAAACGATTCGGATTTACGTAGATAGACCTAGCTCCCTATCGAACCTATTAAGTCTTATATCTAGTATCTACGTATACGTTACTTACTTATAATAACCGTCTTCTTACTCTTTCCTTTCTAGAACTTCTTCGTAGATAGACTAGCGGTTTAGCTAAGACTAATATAGCATTAACTAAGTAGTACCCCGGTAGGTAGTAGTTATTACGATAGTTAAGGAGGCGGCTCGTTAGACGGTAATTCGAGGCCGAAGTAATCTTCTATAGTAAGGCGCGCGGCTTCTATATATTAAGTTCCGCTAATATAATTAAGTCGCTTAATAAAGCGCTTCTAGTCGCGTTATCGCTATTCGAGTAGCGTCTATTTATTAGCGTAGCGCTCTTTAATAGTATATATCTACCGTTAAATATCGTCGCTATACTTACGGATAAGTCGCGGTATAAGAAGTTAGGCGCGCTTATATCGTCGTATATCTCTTTAATAGCGTAGAATATAGTTACGCGGTCGTAAATAGCGAAGCCGGTATTATCGTATTCGGCGTCTTTAAATATAAATAGCTAGCGCTAGAAGTCGTTATCTTAGATAATGTTTTAACCGAGTTAGAAGTAGTAGTACTATAGGTTGGCGTAGGCGAGTTAATACTATAAATAGAACCTATACTCGTACGTCGTCTCGTTACTAAGTAAGCGCTCTACTATATAATTAGGTTAAGTACCGAGCTAATACTACTCCCTAATAAGCTATTATAACCGCTATAGAAACTCTAGTAGCTAGCGCTTTAGAAGGTCGTTATCGCTAGTCGCTAATAGGTAGATTTTACTATCCTTAGTCTTAGTATAGTTAAGTAAGCGCTAGTCGTATTCGCTATCCTTTGCCTCTACTAGTATTACCGTACCGTAGAGTATATATTTACCGGCTATTCTTACCTTATTACCGTACTTAGATTTATTATAATAGCCTTCGAGCGCGTTAGCATCCCTTTCTCTAAGCGGTAAGAATCTTATTTTTCCGGCGCTAGGGATCTTAACCTTTTACTATCGCTACCCTATCTATATAAACTAGGTTCCCGGCGCTTCTCTTAGCTATCCTCCTTTCCCTTCGTATTCTATACTATATACTAGGCGAAAATATAATATATAGCCTTAATATCGTACTAGAAGCGAGAAAAGACTATACGTAACAATTCGTATAGATAGTAATCGAAGTATATTAGAAAGGTTAAATTTAGGGAACTAGGACGGTAGACTACGCGCTAGCGAAGAAGATTGTAAATAGTAAAGGACGAGACCTAGTTTTTCGAGAGGGCTATATATATATACTAGGAGAAGGCGTAACGTAGAAGGATACTAATAAGAGGGCGAGGCGAGCGGCGCTCGTATATATCCTCGGTATAGATACTAGAAGTTACGCTATACTAAACCGTCCCTTTACTTTAAAATATAGGACGTACAAATCTAACCGGAGGTATTTCGAAGGCTATCGTTATTCCTATAACTTAGCGCTAAAGTTACTATATAGTAATTACGCCTATAGAGGAAATCCGAGGAGCTATACTAGCTATATAAACTCTAACCGGAAGAGAGTAGCGTCTCTAGGATTCGAAGACAGCGGGCGAGCTTTAAAATTAAACGCTCGATCTCTATCTATAGAATATAGACTAGAAGGGGAGAGACTAGAATATTAAGATACTATATCTCCTAGAGACACTCGTAGCGAGGAGGAGTATAACTTTACTCTAGAGCTCTCGTAAAGGGCGGAAAAACTTAGATAGAGTATAAGCGGTATATAGCTTCGATAACTATTCGAATTTCTAGCGGATTTATTAAATTCTAATTCTCCGACAGTTCCGACGTAGTACTTTCGAGATATATATTACGAGAATACTAACGAGGTTGTAAGTAACTATAGAATAAAGGGAGTAGGTAAGAGTATGCGCGTAGTAGGCGCCGTAGCTATAGAGCGGACGTAACTCGAACGTATATACGTTATAAAAGCGATAGTAATATAATTAGGAGTAGAGTATAGTTAGCTTTACTAGACGGTATAATATATACGAATTACGAAGGTTAAACGATAAGAGAATAAGGATAAGAAGATAGTAGGTAGCTAGCTTATTTTATAGCTACTAACGTGCTAACTAGGTACTATAAAGTATCGAGAAAAGTCTAAACCTACGGCCTAGACCCTAAAATCTTGTCTTATTACTACTATCTTAAAATGCCTTAGGCGGTATACTACTCCTAGATTATAGTCTACTTGCGCGAAGGAGGGTAGTAGATACTAGCGGCGAAGCGATTATCTAGGCTAGTCTAGACGTAGGGAGAGCTACCGGCGAAGCCGCGCGTAAAGTCTAGAGCTAGTAGGGAGACTAGAGACTAGGCGCCGGTAGCAGAGATATTGCTAGCCTAGTAGAACTCGATAGTCTCGGTACTATCTTATATCGAGATAGTATAGGTAAAGGCGAGGCGCCGAACGACGCTACTAGCGAAGCGTACGAACATTTCGCTAGCCGGTAACTTTAACTATTAGCTTATACTATAACGTAGTTAAGGAAGCTACTTACTAGTATAGCGCTCTTCTTTAAGCCGATCTTCTTAGCTAGAGTACGCTTACTAGACTTTAGTAGCGACTCGTTAGACGACGTCCCGATTATATTAATAACCTTCTAATTATTATATATACGCGTAACTAAGGCGGTTAGTATCGCTATAATAGAGTACGCGCGATAATATTAGACTTACGACTATTACTAGCGGCCTTAGCTAGCGTAGAGGTAACCTTAGTAGAAGTAGCTATAGTAAGAGTAATAGAGGTAGCGTAGAGCGTAGTAGCGCGGAGTATAGTATACTTAGTAAGGGTCTTAAGAGTAAAGCGTAATAGGTAGATAGGAGTAGTAGGTAGTAGTAGTAGAAGTAGTAGTATTAGAAGAAGTTATTAGTAGAAGAAAGCGCAATTTATATAGTACGATTTATAACGATTTCTACCTCGTTACCTAGCGTACCCGGTAATATCCGGCGGAAAATCTTCTAGAATCTAGCTTATCCTACCTTACTTATCGCCTTAGGTTTCCCCTATAGCTTTTCGAGCTATATAACCTTCGAGCTATATAACTACTAGTATATTAATACTAGCCTCCGACTATATATCTACTAGGATTATAGGTCGATTATAAAGTATAGATATTACATATAGATATTTAGGTATTAATTATAAGTATTAGTATCGGTAGGACCTGTTGTGCGTTGTTAGGACGTCGTAGGAGCTCCTTTGTAGGGGAGGGGGGTACTATTACGGAGTAACTGTCCAGACCTAGAGGTTAGATACCTGGGGCATTAGGTCTTGGCGAGGATGCTTCCTCGTACGCTTCCTTCTACCTCTGGATAGGCCCGTACGATAACTCGTCTTCTGTCTGACCCCTGCTATCTCGTAATATGTGCCGTATCCCAAACAGCAAAGGAGTACGGAAAGTAAGCTGCTATACCGTATAGCTATCGCCTATCTTCTCCGTTACACGTCGCCTAGGTTTTCCAACGTCGCCCTAATCCTCTTGTACAATGTAGGCCAATATTTCTCCTCGGCCCATTGCCCCAAACACCTCAACGAAGCCCTTAGCTTCCACAACTCTAACAACGATCCCGTCCCACCAATGCGTAGCTTGAGATCAATCTCAGCGAACTCGGTCCCAGCCTTTCGAGCAACTACAAGCGCCATGATCCAGTCATGCTGCTGCACGTAGATGATAGGATGAACTGCCATAATGCTTTCCTCGCCTGGTGGGACATCTTCTTCCAGGCCAAGCAGTGTCCGCATGCGCTCGAAGTGTGCATATGCCCAGACACCGAGTTGGTTCTTTGCTTCACCGGTAGTGCCAGAATCTGCCTTGGTCTCGATGGAGATAGCGATAGGGTGGGTGCGGAGAGCTGTCGCTCGGCTCTGACTGATGGTCGCCCTGCAGTCTGGCTCTCTCCGGAGGAGGTGATTAATGTCTCTATCCTCATCTGGGGTTGGTGTGATGGAGACAGCGTAGTCTACCAAACGGGCTTCAGTAATTCTCGGCCCTCGAGTGGGAAGGAATTCCGGTATAGGCCGAGCTTGGGTTCTGTATGCACGAAGATGCTGTCAGTTCGATCCGAACTGGGGAGGAAGAAGACCTGGAAATACATACACGTTGTAGTGGGTGACTCGACCAGGGAAGCTTCTCAGAGCCACTCGCAAGATAGGCGAATGTGCTTCAGAATTCCAAGCGGCCTCGGCTTGATTGTACCCTTCCAGGCTCTGCGCATACTCGACGATGTCCAGCAGGTCCACTAGATCGCGCTCATCGCTTGGATCGGGAGTTTCGGCCACCCAACGATCAAAAAATCTAGTGACTTCACGTTTTGTCGCCTCCTACCGCACAAATGTGTAAGCCACAGCCAGTACACATCACATGTTGTGATCCGACGTGCGCCGTTACTCACCTTTGCTATGGCGGGCACAACTCCATTGCCATCGGCAAAGTCTTCAAGCCTTTCAAGCAGTGGATAAACACATCTAGGAAGCGGCGTATCGCGGCGAGCGTACTGGCGAATAGGCGCATCGGCCATCTGCAAGTCCACCATATCCTTGACCGGACTCTTGGATCTCCCGGCGGAGCTTCTGCTCGACTGTGAAGCAGACTCTGACATGTGCGGCGGACGGAAGTGTGGTTGAAATCGTTCTGTAGGGCGGCGCGCGTTGTTTCGCGGTGTTTGCTCTTGTTCTGCACGGCGGGGTGCATTTTTCCGCGGTGTTTGCTCCCCATCCTCACCTCCAAGCATCGCTACGGCGTGCGCCTCTTCCCCTGCCGACGCTGCGGCGGCAGACGACGACGCGTTCCACCGTGTATTCCCCTCTCCAAGTCCCGCCGGTCGCACGCGAGGTGTCGAAGGAAGGCGAACGTCATCGTCCTCGAAGATCGATATCAGCCCCGTTTGTTTTCGTGGACTACTTCGCCGGGCGGCGGCGGAGGCGCGTGTCCCGGTGCTGATGTTGGCGTCCATTGGCGCGAGCCGCGGGCGCTTCTCCGTAGGGGTGGTCTCGCGGTCGCGTTTTCGCTTCTTGGTGCCTTGCGCTCCCAAAGGGGTCTGCGGTTCAATTTCGTCGAGCCAGGCAGAGATGTTCCACATAGCTGGTGAGTAGCGATTGGAGCGGGTGGTGTGGTGGTAAGAAGTGTTTCGAGTGCGGAGTGCGGAGTGCGGAGGGCGGAGGGCGGGCCGCGTGGAGGCTGAATGGGCCGAGTCAAACCAAAACAAGGTATTCTAGAATACCGCTTCCCGGACCGAGGTCCGCTATCACCACAGTTTGTAACGCATAAGCTGAGGTTACATGACTCTTAGCATCTCACGTGACTCTTAGCGAAGCTAGGGAAATATTAACACCTGTTCTTAATACTTTTTTAAATAGAATTAGTTAATTAGAACTACTATAAGACATACCCCTAAAAGTAGTATTATAATATAACTAATAAGAGGGCGCGTAACAGTTATAAGCCTAGGTTTTACCCGCGGTATTAGAGACTAAGAAAGGAGGAAGAATTTTCTATTCTACGAATAATAACTTTAGTAAAAGGAAATTAGTCTCTACGATACTAATTAACTAACTAAAGCTTCTACTATCTCTTTAAGATTATTAACATGTCTTTAATAATAGCCCTCTTATTAGCTAGTCGTCTCGGCGGTACTAAATATATTACCCTTCGAGGTCTAAACGACTAGGACCGCTAGTTTAAACAAACTAAGACTTATCTAACTAGTTACGAGACCTAGCTATACTCTAATCCGTACGCTACGTTGCCTACGGAGCCAATTTAGCCTGCTCTACTAATTATAGATTAAATACGCCTATAGGAGGATTAAGTCTACTAGTAGTTAATCCGCCTAGCAAAGGACTTCTACGATGTCTGTATGGCTAAGTTTAATAGGTTTAGAACGGCACGTAGTAAGACCCTCGAGTACCTAGCAACTATAATTAATGTCCGCTATTATTTAGAAATTACTAATAACGATAAGCTATCCCTACTAACCCTTCGAATAATTATAATACGACTAAAGGACAAGCTAGCGCTAAATACTTAGTAGCAAAGGACTAACTTAGTTAAGGAGCTAAATCGTTTAATTAACTTAAGGTAGGTAAAGGATCCTAAGTAGTAGTATAAGGAATAGCTTAATCTATATAAGACTATAAAGAGGGTTTAGTATACAGAACTTAATAACATAGTTGTTTACCTCTATACTATAGTAGCTAATATAGACGAAACCTATAGAAAGGGACTCTATATAATATACTAGGCCTTACTAAACACTACTTACTTTTATTAGCTAGTTAGCATAGTAAGGGATTATGCCCGAAACATATTAGGTCTATTAATAAAGCGAGGAGCCTTATTTAGCATTACCTACGATATAGAGACCGGTAAATCTAATACCGCCCTTTAAGGAGCCTCCGAAAACAAAAACAAGGACAAGGGCCGGAGTAATAGCCGTACCCGTACCCTAAAGTTATACGCTAAGCTTACCGGAGTTAGTAAAAAGAAGGCATATAAGAACCGTAGCAAATGCTTAGTAGTTAACTACCGCCTTCGAGATAAGGTTAAAGAGAAGGATAAGGATGCTAAATAGTAAGGAAAGCTAAATTACTTTAAAGGCTACTTATGCCGAAACAAGGACTTCTGCTTAAGACAAGCTAGCTTCTTTAAGGACCCGCTAGCCATTAAGATTGCTTAGCAATATTATAGATACGGAAGCAAGACTAAGGAAACCCCTAACAAGTTGTTACTAGCCTGCTTCTTTAGCCCTAACACCCTATTATTATCCTTTATAGGATTATTATCCTTTATAGGAGCAACTAGATATAGACAAGTTAGTATAGGAATGTCTATTAGAAAATAGAACCCCTTTAGTGGACTAATGTGTGATAGTAGATCAAATTGCTATATTATTAACTATCTAGGTCGATTTAACTTTGCTCCTATCTTCCTACTATTAAGGTCTATAGTAGCGACCGGAATAGGCTATAGTAGGGTCGTGGCTATTAGAAGGGCATTATTTACGGTTAAGGCTATTAGTAGCAGGCCCCTATAGATTGAACTAAGAGAATGCCTATATATCCTAAACTTCTATACTAATATAGTCGGTAGAGCCCTATTCTTCTAGCGAGGGTACAAACATTAAGAGATTAATAACACCCTATACGACCCTTAACAAAAGCCTCTAGTTAAGTTTATTAGACCGGATAATTAGATGCTATACTTTAATATAGTTAGCATAGTAGATAACACACCTTTACTAACTAAATAGCTAGCCGATACGGAAGGCCGACTACTTAAATACCTATTCTAACCTAGCAAAGCATTATACGTAATAGCTCGCCGCTCCGCTCGTCTATTGCTACCGAGGCAGCTTATACTTAAGCAGATATATAAAGTATTTAGATACCTAGGTGCTAAAAGGGCAGAAGAGCTAGTTAATAGGGTTAATAGTATAAAGCGGGATTACACACATAGAAATAAGGTACTAAGGATACTACTTTGTCTAGTGTATATATAAGCAAAGGGCAAAAAGCTTATTTCGAGGAGACTAAGGCACTATAATATGTCGATACTTACTCTATATAGACATATCGCAGCCGATTTGATATAGCTAGATATAGCCTATAACGGTAATTAGTATCTGTTTTATGCTCATAATCTAAATACTAGCCTTCATTTTACCTAGACTATTAATAATCGGACCGATAATACCTTGCTTTAATACTAGACTTAGCTAGTAACCTTTATCCGCAGTATTAGTAGGGACATTATTTGCCTTTTATTAGACAACGAGGGAGGCATTAATAGCTTTAAATTCCGGTCCTACCTACGCGATAATTACACTACGTAGAGGCTAATAGCACCGTATACCTTAGAGTAAGACCCTGCTAAGCGAGTAGGCCGCACTATTATTAAGGTAGCGCGAGCGCTAATAATCTATATAGGTTTTCTATACTAACTATAGCTAAAAGTAGTATACGCTGCTACTTTTCTTATTAACCGGTTACTAAGGTTACGAATAGCCGACTTTGTAATAAGAACACTATATAAGATTAGTACTAGACATAAGCCTAATATAGCTTATATCTATTAATTTGGATCGCAAGCTTATCTATTAATCTATAGCATAGAGGCAGTTAATAGTAAGCGGAAGGCTATACTACTAAATACTATAAAAGTAGCATTACGCATATACATTAGATACCTCTATAGATACGAAGGACACTCTATCTATCGGATTTAGGTGCCTTTACGGATAACGGTGCTACGTATAAGAGATATTGTATTTAATAAGACTAGGTTCTATAATAGACATAACGCTAACCTAGGCGTTACTATAACTAACTAAGAACTGGCTTAATTTAGTAATCTCGAAGAGCTATAAGCACTAGCCTCGAAGCATTAATTTAACGATTTTCGAGAGGCATACGACACACTACTAGACCTAGTACGGTTTAGAGCTAAGGGGGTAGAAACACTAACAGGACCTAGCCGGCTTATAATAGTCGACCCTATAAGGCTAGCAGCTAAGCCTATTAGACAACAACTACCTCCGCAAACACCGACACTACTAACTAAGCTACAGCTCGTATAGGTGCCGAAGAGGCTACGTATAGATCTTACTAATTAGAGATTATATAAGCCTAAATTAGAGGAAGTACCTATTAACTAATAGGACTTTTTAATTAACTTACGCGAAGCACTACCGCCGCGTAATAATATACTAAATAGATTAGTAGACCTAACCATTAATTAGCAACCTAAGACTAAGAATAATACTAGCAATTATAGCCCTACTAACAATATAGACGTACTAGGTTACGTAGACGACATAGACATAAACCTACTACGAGTAGAGCTAGCTAAATTGCTAATGCTAATTAAAGTAGCTAATGTTTCTTATCGTTACTTACTAAACATAGGAGGGCCGCATTATCGAGCTAATAATCCGAACAAACGACAACGAACGGCCGCTATCTACCGAGCCGGCCGTTACTATATTAGCAATCGAGAACAAGCAAGAAACCTCCTATTATTTAATAGCCTATACTTGTTAGTAGAATACGAAGCTCGATTAACATACGTATTAAGCGCATTAAATAGTTAAGCAGACGACAATCCGGATCCGCTACCGCCGCTTCTACGAGACGAGTACGGTCTAAACCTTACCCCGAAGGTGTTAGACCTACCTATAGAGCTACGCAACTAGCGCTAGGTATTAAAGAGCCGGTTTAAAGAGCATTAGATATATGCTATAAGAGTAGAATTTAATAAGGCCTTAAAAATAGGTATATTTAAATAGGTAGATATAGAGGAACTAATAGATAAGGATAATACATACCTTCTGCCTCTTACCTAGGTGTTTAAATACAAAAGTAATGCTAATAGACGGCTAGTTAAGTTTAGGGCTAGAGTGTATATAAGAGGGGACCTGCAGAAGAACACCTATTTAGATACCTATGCCTTAATACTAGCCGCACGAGTATTCCGTACACTAATAGCTATTACTACTAGCTTTAACTTAGAGGCAGAGTAGATAGACGCGGTTAACGCCTTCTTAAATACTAGCCTGCTATACATACTATATTTAAAGCTACTAGAAGGCTTTAAATAGAAAGGAAAGGTACTATAGCTGCTCTAGGCACTCTATAGTCTTTAAGAGTTACTAAGGTTGTAGTATAATTACCTTACTACGACCCTAGAAAACAAGCTTAGTATACAGCTAGTAGACAACGTTAACTGCTTATATACTAATCTAGATAAGCAGGTCTTTATCTTCTTCTATATAGATAATATTGTCCTACTATATTACCGCTAATACAAGTAGAAAGCTATAGATCTAAAGCAACGACTTATAAAGGAATACGAGCTTAACGACCTAGGCAAGCTCTCTTAGTTTCTAGGGATTGAAGTTATACGAGACCGCGCTACTAAGCAGCTCTAGTTGTTATAGAAGACGTATGCTAAGAAAATAGCTTAGCGGTATAGAATTAATACTAGAACTAGACGAAGAGCCGACTTACTATTGCTAACTAGATACGAGCCCTACGAGAAAGCCGATAGTAAGAAGGCCTTATAATACCTAGATTTAATAGTAGTACTAGCCTATTAAAGCCGTATAGGATTACTTAACTTCGTAGCGGTTTAAACAAGGCCGGACATCGCTAAGGCAGTATTATTGCTGTCTAAGGCCCTATAAAACCCTCGATAGGAAGACATAGCGGCTATAAATTAGTATATTAAATACCTCCTACAAACGAAGGACCTATGCTTAGAATACTATGCCGACGGACTAACAATTACTACGCATTCTAGCTATTAGTTGAACGAGTTCTACGGAGCTTCCGATGCCTTATATAGTAACTATAAAGGCACTAGACAGTTATTAGAGGGGTAGTTATTTAGTCTGTTTAATAGCCTAGTCGACTAGAAGGCAGTACGATAGTTAACCGTTACTAAATCTACGACTAAGGCTAAGTTGCTAGCCGCATTACATGCAGGCTTAGAACTAATCTAGTAGAAGCGCTTCTTCCTTAATATTAGCCTTACTTTAGATGCCCCTCCTATATTATATTGCGATAATATATAGACTATTCGTATTATTAAGGCTAATGCTAGCAAACTAGACACTAAGCTAAGGCATATAGATATCTACTAGTACTAGCTCCGCTAAGAACATAAGGCAGGTCGAATACAGTACGAATACCTAGCTATATAGGACATGCTAGCCGATAGACTAACTAAACTCTATAGTCTATAGAACTAGAAGAGGTTCATTTAGCAGCTTAGACTAACTATACTACCCTTAAAGAAGGGTTAACTAGACTAATAAACTAAATTAATTAGAGACCTGTCTGCGAAATAGCGCTAGCAAAAGTGTCTAACACGATAACGACTACTAATTAGAATAGCGTAGACAACCTTACTTGCGGGGTGCGCTGCCTATATTATTACTTCGAGCCTTACTTCCGTTAACTAACTAGAGCCCGCTACGCTTTACTAAGTAATAACTGCGATAGTATAGTAGTATAATTAGAGGTAGCGTCTCTATTTTATACTACGAATCCTAACTAATTAGATTAAAGTAAGTAAAGCACATTTATCTAATCCTTTACTTGTCTTAATTAGACGCTACCTAAGCGAGACCTATTAATAACCGATAATGTAATATAGACGGCACAATTTACTAACACAATCCGAACTAGCGTAGCTATTTAAAAAGGATTAGTCCGTACTTTAACTACGTAGGAAGAAAACAGTTCTTAGTAACAAGGGCCGTATATAAAGGTGCACAGACCTCCTCGGGGGTTTTCCGCAGTCTAGATTATATAACGATATCCTTCGGGGTAATCGGGGTATAAAATGAGACTCTCTTATATATAGTGTGGATTTAAAACTAGCTTTTTGTTATTTTAATAAAGCATTATATAAGAAGAAGAAAAAATCAGTTTTTTCTTTTGTTTTTATATAAAGAAGCATTAACTACCTTGCCTAAATAGGAACACTCTTTTAGCTAAGGTAAGGGGGTGTGTAACGTATAAGCTGAGGTTGTGTAACTCTTAGCATCTTGCGTGACTCTTAGCGAAGCTAGGGAAATATCAACACCTGTTCTTAACACTTTTTTAAATAGAATCAGTCAATTAGAACTACTACAAGACACACCCCTAAAAGCAGTGTTACAATGTGACTAATAAGAGGGCGCGTGACCCAGTTCAGATAATCCAGACAACATACACTCCTTCTCCGATGCTATCGTCTGCAATACTGTCATAATATCGATCTTGGTTGCTTCAAAATACCGTCTTTATCTTCGACCTCCTCGTAGCAGTTGAGTTCAGTTATACACGCATCAATGGATCTTGCGACCCAAGCTTGACCTTGCTCACAAATATTCTCGAATATGATAATGCTTGGCCGGATCCTTGTGTGTTTGTGCTTCTTCTTCCGCTTGACTACCTCGGTTGTCAAGGCAAAAGAGCTGAATGAAACTTGGGCGACACGTCTTCTCAAGTCCGCTGCGGAAGTAGTCATGAGTCTGACTCTCGCAGCCGACGAAAGTGCAATCCCAGTCGCTTGGGTGATGCAATGCTCTGGAAGGGCCGCTAGATCGCTTTAGCATGTCCGTCGAACTGGTCACCATTCCAAAACATCCAGGTGTATCGCAATACCGGCGCTGGTCTGATTGTACCGGTGCAATTCGATCGTGCGGAAGACAGTGTCAGTGCCGGGATGCGGGCCTTCAGTTCCTACAACGGGTGTTGCCCGAATGGATGCACTGTCTTCCTAGCGCGGATGGCATGTTCTGAATCGTCCGACAGTCACAGCCTGCCATTGCTATCGATATGCGAAGACATTTATTAGGAAGGACTAACCTCTGCAAACGAAGCTCGACAGCCTAAGCGGATCCAAACCGGATGCTGTGGTGTCCAGCTGTGACCCAAAGTCGAATTGCCAGCTGCAGTCCTGTGATGCAGACAGGCCAAGAAGATCTGCATGTGCCTTACTGCTAGCGCATTGTGTGCGGAGCTTAGTGAGGGTCTGTTATGGAGACGGAAGAACAACTCGTCTGTATATTCTCGCGCCTCGCCGCCCAGGCCCACCACTCGTGATACGAAGCATCTTGCATAGGTAAATCCTCAAAAGCTGCACAATCATTGAACCAGGAGGACGACGGTCGAAATGCAGACAGCAACTAGGCTTTTGAGGGAGGTCGAAGCTTATTGCCGTCCCTTCCGATTAGCACAAGCCTGGCCCATTGTGTAGATGAATCATTCCACCTTCCGCATTGCTTTAGACTCTCTATGCTAGCGGGATATGGAACATTAATCAATCCAAATGAGGACCATTTTACCATACAGATAGCAAATTGACTGGAGAAATTCAAGAGGCCGTGAAAAGCCTGACTAAGTCTGATATGAGGCCCGATGAGAAGGAGCTGTTGCTGACGGTGGAATTGGGAGGGGTGGGACGATGACTTCAAAAGGACGAGATGAATTCTGAGGTACTTGGATTTGGCTTTGCTGAGTCTCAACTGCCTTCTGGTGTGCATTTTTTTGACTTCTGGGTGTATGAAGAAGGCAGACCCATTAACCGGACCGGCTTTTGAGGAACTCCAAGTCTCTGGAAGGTGTAGAAGAGCTTTTTCGTAAGGCGGCGAGGAGCTGAGGAATGTAGCTATCGCTCCAATATCCCGAGGTCATAGCGCCTTTGTGAGGTGGTATGTGGGTGCAAATCGGGTTGCTGAGCAAATGAGGGTCGCCCTCGGGGCGCTAGAGGGTTCTTGATCTTCTCCCTAGAAGTTGTGGAGTCATCCCTGGGATCGCGCCTGCGCTTCATTGGCGTCGTGCTAGCAGAAAGTCGGAGTGATCAGTCTCCATCGATGTGTATGATCTGAGAGTCTTGAAGCTGCGGTGTAGTAGAGTGAGTGATTGTAAGCTGATGGAAGTTCGCATTTCTCGATGAAAGCTGCATAAAGGCGTCGATAAGGTTCGCTGAGGGTGCGTGGTTGTCCTCTAGATTCTCTGTCTTCTGGGTGTCGTTGTCTAAGAGGCTGAGTCAATGTCATCGCATGGATCTGCCGAGTCGGACAAATTTGAGAAATGCAATGCTGTGCGCTCCTCCGGATCATCTTCACTGTTCCTGAAGTATGTCGAGGCCATCTCCCCAGCTCTCTTTGCTGCGAACTGCCGGATACTTGAAGCAGCACCTTGGCTTGACGAAACACAAGGTCCAGTGTGATGCAGTGTTCTGCAAAATACAGGCTATGGTTGAAGTCTGACTGCTTCTGTGGTCGGACCGCCCAATTCGCAATTCCGAGTCGATGATATGCTGTTGCTGTTGACGAGCATCTGAGTGCGATTGCTGGCTCGGGGTCAGGCATGGCCATGCAGGCCATTCCGGTCTGGTCATATAGGCGATAGATGAGATCCGCGCTGGGCAGGGCTACGGTGCCATAATCGATCCGCGGTGCTGAGGAGCAGCTGGTACAATATGCAGCCCCGTGAGGTTGCGAGAAACTTCCTCCCGAGTGAACCAGACGTTGGAGCCCCGATGCGTCATACTGGTCTCCGCTGCTCTGCCAAAATTGCATGAACGGTGGCTCTCCAGCGTCCTGCGGGTCCTCGGCACTTACAGAGCCGATCTCGTTGACTTTGTATTCGGATGGCACTGTGTTCAATGCGGATATTGCTGCCGATACTGCCGACGCTGACACCCACATTCCCGGCTGCAAGGACCCGATCATGCCGTCGACAGCGCTCGGAGGCTTACCCTGGTATTCTCGAGCCGGTACCTGGAGCACTCTTGCAACGATTGCAGGCGTAATTCGGTGCAGGTCGGTCGTGGAGCTTGCAAATGCTGCCAGACCAAATGGATTGGCTTCAGGACGGGCAAGCACCGGGATGAGTGCAGGCGTCGACATATCGGGCTCGTGAGCAGTTGAAAGCTGTATCATCAGATCCGACGATGCAAGGAGAGTCAGCGGTATTGACGGTAGCTTTTGATCGCAGGACTTAAGGCCGGGCTCGGCGAGCATGGAAATGGGTGCAGGCGTCACCCTGCCCGGCTGGTGAGTATCTGAAAGCTGGAACGTCAAATCCAATGATGCAGGGAGTGTCGGCGTGATTGGCAGAAGCTCCTGATGGCAGGACTTGAGGGCAGGCTCCGTGAGGATGGAAGTGAGTATAGGCATAGTCGTTTCCGGCTGGTGACCGTACGATGATCGTGTCGCAAGGTTGGAAGGAGCAGGGCGAGTCGGTGCGACCGCCAGTGATTTGTGATGCAGTGACCCAGGATCAGCAGAGGCAGAGGCAGAGGCACGCGGTGGAGAGCCTTGGATGTCATTCATCGAGATGGGACGTGGGCGATTGGTGTTCATCTGCCTGGAATGCAAATGAGTGGTCCTCATCAGTTGGCTCAAGTCCCGGAGTATGAGGCCGCTCGAAACTGTCTGGGCGATGCTCAGCGTCAGCGTCAGCGTTAGCCTCGTCGTTAGAGTCGGAGTCAGAGTCAACCTCTCGTGTCTCATTTCATTTTCACTCTTCGGGGTATGACAGCGAGAGACCGGTACGCTCGCGACCGTGATGCGCCGTATCTTGTACTCGGGGGTGATGGCCAAAGACCCAGCGCGTCTCATGGAACCAAGCCTCGCTCCGGTGTCTTCACCGTCGACTGCTCCGCGTCCCTTCTTCTCTATGAATTCCTTCTCCGCCTGAAAATGCCGAGTCTCGACCATGATGCTGGTGTCTTCCTCAACCATTTCCCTGCCAGAATCAGTTTCTATCTCGTCTTCTGTATCATCGTTACTGTGCTCGCCGCTGTTGCTCTCATGACCATGTGGAGTGCGCTTGACCGCAATGTTCCACAAGAGGTGGCTTCATCGCAACAACAGTCTTGGGCAATGTTGCAGCAGGTTTTTCTGCATCATTGGATTTCGTCACAGGTCAAACTTTCTCCTTGTGTGCTCTGAATGCTGCCAGGCACATGAGATAGTGGGTATGCCAGGGAGATACGAGATACGCATTACGCCATTCCGGTGATGAGTGGCGGGATGTGATGCGGCGGCGGCCGCGCGCTTATCGCTGATCTTGAACGTGTAGCAGGCGGACATGGAGGGCTTCTCGATGAATGTCGTAGGCCTGATTCCCGCAGTCTCTTGCACTACTGATGACCGGTATCTGAGGCGGTGGGGTTGAGATTGATACCTTCAAGACTTCGGTGCCCGAAGTCGTGGAAGGGTCTGCGGTGGAAATGTACGTCGTGTTCAAGGCTCTGCAGGTATGTTCTTGCTCACTGTCGATTCACTGGTGAATCCTTCATCGAGCGGCTGCGAGCGGCACACCTATGGGGACAATGTGTCATTGAGGAACTGGCCAGGTAGTTCTCGTCCTTGCCCAGTCGTTTCCGTCGTCGCACAGCTGCAACATCTTCGATGGACAAGTCGTTTCTGCCTGCGGCAGGTGGATTAACTTCCAACTCATGCGGCGTAGGAAAGGATGCTGATGTTCCAGGCCTACTCTTTCACCATTCCTCTCCGATCACTGTCGATGCAGCCAGGGCCTGCTGTCCAGCTGTTCTCCGTTAGCCTCCGGAATGCTGAAGAGTTCGAGTGTACAGTCTGCAGAAATTGGGTTTACCTGATGGTGTTGCCCGTAGCTCAGCGCGAACAATGTGCACGACACTGTCCTCTCTTCGTCAGCGAACGTGTAGTGGCCCTGGCCCTGCTCGAAGCATAGCGTCGACTTATCCAGATGAGAGCGGTAGCGCTGATGTGTCCAAAGAAAGGAGGAGATGTGCCTTTGGGTGCGCTGCCAGCGAACACATCTGAATGACATATGCCCGTCGCCACCATCTTTACCAGCAGTTCAGTTTGGATGCTGAGGTGTGAGAAGCCGAAGTCAAGGCGGAGGCGGAAAAGGTCAAGTGTACTGTACATGCAGGGGATCATGTCCACGCCGGCAAAAGCTATTTTGCAGGTACCTAGCCTAATGTAGACAAGTGCGTGCACGGACGATTTACAGTGTACTTAGACCTAATTTAGCATACCTAAGCATCGCGTTGCTTACTAATTCGAATCGCTAGCTATAGTAACGGTTAGGGTTAAGAAGAAGGCATTTCTAGAGGCTATCGATCGAGTAGATATATAAGACTACTAGAACTAATTGCTATAACCTATATACTAATAACTACGAGGGTATAGCACTAGCTACTACTACTATAGCTACTAGTAACCTCCGTAGAGCGGAGCTATCGATACTAGCGGAGCTATAGAACCTAGCGGAGCTATAGAACCTAGTATATACTATTGCGAGTAAGTAAATACCTATTAATTTAATAGCGGCGGAGCGCCTCTAAATATCGTAGATTAAGTCGCTACTAGAGCCTATCTTAGCGTAGGTTAAGAGCTATAGAACTAGATAAACTATTACTAAGAGTAAGGCATTATCGGCTCTATACGAGCCGGTTATTATTATTATTGTCGACTAAGTACTAAAGCGGCTCTTTAAATGCTAGCTAGATCGTTGCTAATAAAGCCGTATCGCTCTATAGGCGTATAGATAAGCGGAGCTATCGCTCTTAGCGGTTGTATTGCTATACGAGGTTACTAAGTAGATACTCTCGTACGACTAGTACTACGGCCTCTTCGAGAAGCCGGATTCGATCGATCTACGTATTCGAAGCTAGAGGGTTCTCGCTAGTTAGTACGTATATTCCTTTTACGTCGTTTGTTTAGTAGGTTAGATAGCTCTTAAACCGGCCTCTTAACTTCGATAATAGCCCTTACTAGCGCCGCGGCTTTGTCGATATACTAGTACCTATCGAAGTATATATAGGGGTTAAATTCGATAAAGCTATTAGCCTTAATAGTGTCGATAATCGTATACTTATAGATAATACCCTATGCCTTACGGAAGCAGCCTAAGCATTAAGAGCGCTATTTGCCTAGCTCCTTAGTAAGCTTAGCTATCTCTTCGTATGCTAATTTAAGTTAATTAAGGGCTTTCTATAAGGCCTTCCTATATACCTTTATATTAACCTTAGCAAACTCGGGTCTACGTAGTGCTATAGGTATACCCTTCCGCTCTTAGCCTATTCGTACCTTAATCTCTAAGTGCCTAATTAACTACTATAGCTTTAGCTTAAGGAACAGCGTAAGGATATTATAGCGCCTACTAGCAAGCTACCTCTTTATAGTTAGACCCCGAAGTAGTTTAGGTTACGAACTATAAAACGTATATAGTTTGGTTTCTTAGCGGCAAACTAGCTCCCTAGTTCCGGGTTGGTTTTTCTAAACTATATAGATTCCTAGTTAGAACTAGAGACTATATCGGTTTTATTACAAATATACTCTTATCCGACTGCCGGCTACTATTGCCGGCTACAATAGTAACTAGGTTATATTTAGGTCGCTCGTAGATGCCCTAACTATAGGCATTGCCGTTAATAGGTCGTAGTAGCGAGAGACTATATTATAGCTATCCTAGCTATAGGGCAGTATAGTAAGTCTTACTATTCTTATACTCTGCGCTTTGTATACGTATTATAGATCTTAACGTCTTCGGATAGTAGGTAAATCCGGAATACGGACTATTATAGCTAGTAGGAATATTAAGAGGAGGAGGAGAAAGCTATAATCTCTATTTACGCCTTTTATTATAAGCATACTCCTACCCGACTACCGGCTACTATTGACGGCTATTATAGTAACTAGATTACATTTACCCCGCCTACGATTGCCTTAATAATAGCGATTGTCGTTACTAGGTCGTAGTTGCCGTTACTAGGGCGTAGTTACTATTACTAGGGCGTAGTTACCGTAGTTGCAAAAGCTTACCTAGATAACGTTACGTAGGTAGTAACAATTAGGGCTTCGCGATATTCTTATATCTTTTACCTTCTTCCTCTTCTATATCTATAATAACTATCGACGCTACGCCCTCCCCTCTCCCCCCTTCGCCCCCTCCTCCTTAAAATAGTAAGAGAGAAGCGCGCCGCGCGCTAAATAGAAGATAGTAAAGAACGCGAGTTTATTTTGCCTTAGTATCTAAAAAAAAGCGTAAGACTAAAGAGGAGTACTCTATAAACAAAAATTCTATATAAGATCGCGAGAGGAAGGACAATATAGACGAGGATAAAAGAGCTAAGGATAAGAGAAGGAAGGCGCGTAACGAGGTATTCTATCGATAGCTAGCGCCTATTAAAAAGAGCGAAGGTTAGAAGTAGAAGACAAGCTAAGAGAAGGCTTAATTTTTAAAGGAGGAAAGAATTACGGCTAGTTTTCGAGGAGCAATTTCTACTAGCGTAAGTTAATATAGCCGGCATATATAGCCGGTAGCGTAGCCGGTATCCTTTCTCGAAATCGGTAACTAATACTATTTAAACCTATTCCTACTACCTCTATCGATACGACCGATAATAACGGAGATGTTTAGATAGCCGAGAGTAGTAATGCTAGACTTTAGAATGCTACGTAAGAGCTTATTGCTACGAATAACGGGACTGAAAAAAGTAAGAAGATACTATACGTCGATCTGTTTATAGGCGTAGTCTTAAGGCCTAACGCTATAGACGACAAAGGCTAGGAGTAGATTAAGTATAGCGAAAGCGACGAGGCGCTAGTAAAGGGCTAAGGCATAAGTCCTATTAATCTAGATAATTATCGTTAAAGCTACTACGAAAAGCTTGCGAAGATTAGAATTAAGGCTAGTCGTCTTTATATCCTTAATATAGAGTAGAGATTTCTTTATAAGTATTAGAGGGACGCTTTTATAAGTATAAAGGAAAAATATCTTACGATTAATAATATAGAGGCTAGATATCTTAAGGCGGCGAAGGTATTACTAGAGGTAGAGGACGTAAAAGTAAGTGTTTTATAGCCGGCAGCTATAGCCGGTAGCTATAGCCGGCAGCTATAGCCGGCAGCTATAGCCGGCATTCGTAGCTAGTAGATACTAATAGTCGAATAGAAAGCGATTTCCGAGGGAAGAGTACTATTGCTATATAAAATCTTTACTCCGGTAGAGAGGGCTTATATCCGGAATCTAAGCTGCTAGTAGGATAGTTTCCCGTTAGATTTCTCTCGACCTCTATATAAGGTTCCTAGTAATTACCTACTTTAGTAATACGGCTTTATCTTAACTACTCCGCAGTCGCCTAATAAAGCTCGTTCGCTCTTTAAGGTCTTTACTAAGAAGCGGAGGGAATTCGAGAACTAGGATTAGTTAAAGGAGGTATTAGTTAGATTTAGGTTTCGTAGTTAGATTCGGCCCGAGCATTTGCTTATCGAGTGTCTTCTACTAAAGGAGGAAGGATTAAGACTAAAAACAAGCTCGATTGCTATAGTAGCTCTATTCCGTTAGTAGGAGAGAACCGTAGTATAAAAGGGAAAAATTCGGGTAGCTAGGGTAGCTAGGAAAAAATTAAGTAGTTAGGGTAGCTAGGGTAGCTAGGAAACAAAAAAAGGTAGCTATATACTTGCTGCCTAGCTATTCCTAACGATAAGATACTATAAAAGAAAGGGTGTTTCCCTATAACTACTAGTATATATCTACTACTCTTAACCTCTCCGTATAAAACTTTAAATTATGCCGAACGATATTATATATACACTAGGCGCTATACTAGGAAGAGTAACTACGAGACGATAGGCGAGACAGTCTAGTATACGAACTAGATCGCAACGACGTCGAGACGAGGCTATATACTTACCTTCGAGCCTATTGAGTACTAGACGACGATTAAGGCTAGATTTATCCTCTTCGCAACCTAGTAGTAGGATTTCGTTATAGGGTACTACCGTCCGGTCCTTACCTTTATAGAGTCTAAGAAGAAGGTTATTCGGAGAGACACGAATATTAAGTATTAACCCGGATATCTTCGAAAAGGCTAGCTAGGCGTATCTTTAGAAACCCGAGTATACCGAGCAGTTTAATTAATAGGTCTATAAGATATAGTTCCCTTTTTACTTACGTTTAAGGGCGTATAAACTACGGAAGTACTCGATACGATAGGGTAGCAAGGATCGAACGGACATATTCTAGAAATTTTTTACGGAGGGGGCATTATACCGTAATACGAGTTCGTGTCTAAAAGGTTAACTAGTAATTGTCTATAAATTCTATAGTTCGATCTTAAAATACCCGAAGCTAGGGGATAGGAATTTATCGCCTACTAACTATCTCCGTTCTAAACGGTATCGGGAATCTTAAAGGGAGGTAAGGGTTAAGGTAGATACGGCGTTCGAGAAAGAGGTACGTCTTCTAAATATACCGGCCGTAGCTACCGGTAATAGCTGCCGGCTATAGCTACCGGCTATAGCTACTAGCTATAGCTAGAGGGTCCTTAACTTAACCCTATAAATACTACTAATTTTTATAGGCTACGTAGAAGGAAGCTTAAGTATTAAAGGCTTCCGATTTCTCCCCCGAAGATTTTAAGCAACTAGTAAACGAAATGTTAGCTATAAACGGTCTTCCGGAAGACTTCTTCGAAAGGGATTCTATATAGAAGACATACCTATATCTTATAAAGTACCCCCCTACATTTCTAAGCGCGACTACGTAGCGTACTATATTCGAGAAGAATAAAGAGGCTACGTTAGACGACATTCGGGAGATTCTCCGTAATACTCGCCGAGTAGCTATTACTATAAATAGCTAGTTAAGCCGGACTATAAGGGCCTCCTTCCTCTCTATTATACTATACTTTATTAATTCGGATTAGAAACTCTAGGAAATGCTAATCGGATTCCTAGAAATTCTAGGTTCCTATACCGGTTAGGATATAGCGAAGCTTGTCTATACGGTAATAGATAGGGTTAGCGTAACTACGAAACTAATCTCGATTACTATAGACAACGCTAGTAATAATCGAACATTATATAAGGCGTTATATATACTATCTATTTACATTTGTCTTCGAAATAACTAATAGTACCGATAGGGTCGA